CAAATTATTTCAACAGATATATCATACATTATTCACAGTTCCTACGTTCACGATGCTTCCTAAGCGAGCATTGTGATCAAAAGATGACTAATTTATGGCATTTCGTCTGAACACATCGTCTTCCACTTGCACGACTAGAAAAAGAAAAAGAACAATAATATCTGGGTTTCATGAAAGCATTAGGCTATTAATTTTCGGGGTACTCTAGTGAACAAAGATCGTTTTGATAAATTTAATGAATGTAAGAAAAGCAATGCAAGGAATAAAAATACAAATTCAGAAGAAGAAGAAAACCAAGGGATCTAGAAAATTCTAACCTTCAAACAAAGTCTTTTCGCGGATCTGATCGAACCAAGGACACTGAAGGCACTCAAGCGAGTTGGTACTGCCATGCCTATGAAGAAAACATACGGTTTTCTTCATGACACCCTATGTTTTCTTTACATTCACAGTAGGTACACAGTATGGATGACATAAGGCAGTGCTCTCAATGCCCCAAGTGGTATCATGAGGAGTGTGTTAGTTTATCAATGGATGATTATGATGACTTCGTATGCCGTGGTGGATGTTAGATGAGGCTACTCATTTAATTCTAAAGTATTATTCTGCCATTGACTGGATAATGATTGATATCAAATACCAAAATATGTTATTTTAGTTGATTAATTGCATAGTTAAAGAAGCAGGCCTTGTTACCCTACCGAATTATAATAAGGCCTATTAAGAGCGTTTAAAAAAATGTTAAATATTGTTTAGGTTTCATGCAGAATTTGCTATTTTTTTGTTATAGTTTTGTAGTTGCCTAAATAAACGACTGATTACCGAATAAAACTTGTTGATTCTATTATCAGTTTTGATTTTACAACAAATTTCCCTTAGCTAGGCCTTAATACCCTCATGTACCTTATGCAAAATAGTTTAAAAAAATTGTTACTATATCAATATTAATTTATTGACTCAGTTTTCCTATCCTATATATATATAATAATTTTGTTTTCTAGGTGTTGTGGATTCTGAAGACATTCCATTGAACTTAAGCAGAGAGCTTCTGCAAAATAGTGCCCTCATTGTGTAAGTAATGCAGTGATTTTAATGATGCAATGATTTTAAAACATAGTTATATTCCTAATTTTTGTATTAGCTTTAATTTTTATTGGAAGGTAATAATACATGTTATTTTCCAGAAAACTGAAGACTGTGTTGACCAATCGTTTCCTTAAATTCATGATTGATATGTCCAACAAAAATCCATCAGATTACGAAGCATTCTACAAAGAATATTCTATATTCCTTAAAGAAGGAATTGTTACTAGTCAGAGCTCTATTGAAAAGGTAAGCTGAAAATGCCTGATTCCCCATTATTGAATAACTTGCTGATATTTTATCATTATCAGGCATATTTTGACACAATACCATATACCTATATTTGGTATAAAAATATCTGCCATGGCTGCTATGGTAGATAGCATTGCGTTTATAAATTACAATAGTGAAGTATAGTAATAATTGATTATTAGTCATTTTTTTATTTGATTTGATTTACCGTCTAGAAGAGTCTGATCCAGACCGAATTTTGAACAATTATTTTCATTGCGAAGCGAACATCGCGCGACATTTTTGAACCACTTTATGCAGAATAGAGCCAATGTTAATTTAACTTATTTACTGATCCATTCTCAACTATTGTAATCTTAAAGCCGTGGCAGATATTTTTTAAACGCCTTATATATTTGTCACACACAAGATTAATTAAGTTATCCGCGAGTTGTATCAATGTTAATCCGGCTAAGAAGTACTGCTCGAAATATTTAAGCAACATTGAAGTTGTAACTTTTTGTCTCATTTTTTATCTTTACATACTTTATTCTAACTATTCTAGGAGGAAATAGCAAAACTGCTTAGGTTTGAATCCTCAAAACTTCCAAATGGTCAAAGAACTTCTCTCAGTGAATATGCAACAAGACAAAAGGAAGACCAAAGAACAATCTACTATTTAGCAGCTCCTAGGTTTGTAAACCCGTTTTTTCATTAAATTATATATATTTTACTAAACAAATATGTTTTGATATTTTGTTTTATAGTTTAATGCTTAGATACAGAGAACCTCCAGATAACAAATACAAGCGGGTTATTCAAAGCAGCTTAAAACTACGATAATTTTGTTATTTACAGTCGAGAACTGGCTGAATCTTCGCCATACTATGAATCACTCAAGAAACGCGACGTTGAAGTGTTATTCTGCTATGAAATGTATGACGAACTTGTACTATTAGAATTGAAGGAGTTTAACAACAGGAAACTCGTCTCCATAGAGAATGATATGCAGACTACGGCTGCAGAGGAACCAGATAATATTATTGGTAATAAATCAGACATTTTCTCTATAATTCAGTGCATAAACTTACAAGGAAGGGGCAAACACGCACACTTTAAAACTACAAAAGTGCTTTTCGACATTACTCTCTTCTATCCAGCATAAAGATATTCCGTAACACACTAACTTAAGACTAATGTATAGTCAATAGAAAAATGTGGAGGCCAAAACTTTCACTAGCTTGGTCCACGTGTTGTGCTCCCATGGCGTTTAATGTGTTAAAATGTATTTTTTTTTTTCATTTTTTGTTATCAGGCAGTGACGCACTCCAACAGTCTCAAGTGGATGAAGTTGTTTCCTATCTGAAGTCTCATTTAGCTGGCAAAATATTTGATGTGAAAACAACATCGAAGTTAGAAACTCATCCGTGTGTTATCACTGTACAAGAGATGGCAGCAGCTCGACACTTCATTCGCACTCAAGCTCAAAACCTCAGTGAAGAAAACAGATTTGCGCTTCTAAGGCCACATCTAGAAATAAATGTAAAGTGAGTACTTATTTATTATCCTATGCAAGAAAAATAAACATTAAAAAACCAGAATCTGAAGATTGATTATTCATTACCATATTTCTTTTTTCAGGCACCCGATAATTAAGAAGCTTCATAAACTGATGTCATCTGATCCAGAACTGGCGAAAATGATTTCTGAACAACTGTTTTCAAATGCCATGGTCACAGCTGGACTTATACTGGACCCAAGGAATTTGATTGTTCACATCAATGAACTTTTAGTTAAAGCTTTAGAAAAACATTAGAAACTAGAATTTTATTGTTAAAATAGTAATTAATGATTTATTATAAAGGTTTATGTTATTTACTTACTAAATGGTTGAGATTAAATGTTCTTATGAATATTTAAAAGTTTTATTTTAATTTCATGTTTTAAATGACAAAGTAGTTGAACCCTTAGGTAGAATAATGATACAAAAAACTGTCAACATTTAGCTTACTAGGGCACCGTAATTGGTCACCTACCGCCTGACGCAGGTGCTTACCGGGCACGGCAGCTTCGGTAGGTTCCTGTTTCTGGCGGGAGGAAACGCCCGAGTGTCGTCATTGACCACCCAGAAGGCAAGGTGGAGAAGTGCCCTGCTTGGGCTGAGTACACCCGTGTCCTCCGGGAAGTGATCGGCGGCGGCCTTAGTCGAGGCCATGGTGCGAAGCGAGAGGAATTGGGAAGCCGTCTCCTGTTTCTGCGAAGCAGTTATGTTCGCAAAAAGGCGGACTGCATCAGGGAGCTATCCCTGTCCTCCTTACGCCCGCTGGGCCTGCGCCTGCTGAGGCGCAGTAGACGTCACCGGCCACCTTAAGCGCGGGTCTAATACCCTAGTAGCGACCCTACTTGCTTACTTGCCTCAGAGAGCCCAAAGACCACCACAGACGGTGCCTAAAGGGCAAAGGACGTTCAGCCGGGGTTGCGGTTTGACCGCAATGAGACACCGCTGCCTCGTGCCAGAGCAGAGGGAACGGGGGAGGTGGGGCCAGTAGCCAGTAAGAGTCTGACACTCCCTGCTGCCCAGCCCTGGGCGTGAGAAGTCATTAATGATTTTACCCTCACCAATAAGCAAAACTGTAATTGGTAAGAGCAGTCTTCCCAATTATGTCTTTTTTTTTTTGTCACACATATTCGATGCTCACATTCACATTAGTATCTGTATCGTTCTAAAAGTAGTGTTCGTAACTCCATCTATGAGATGGACGACGTGTAAAAATACGTAGGTATAGGTATGATTTGAGTAACGCTTAACCACATTTTGCTGCCCCAAAAGATTCGCAATAAGATTCACTCGTGCATAAAATGTCTTTATTCTATTACTGATAAGTGGTATTCATCTTCTCATTGACCTCCCGGCCATAATTTAACTGAACGGTGTGGCATTTACTCATCATTAATGCATGCGAAATGACCGCTATATAATATTTGGCTTAATAACATTCGATAACCACACCCTGAATATTGGTAAGTTTCTAATATTGAAAGATAATAAAACACTAGATTGATAGTCTGACTGCTTCGATTGTTGAGTAGTCCCGAAGTAGCAACACAACACTATCCGACTGTCTCGTAAGATCGCACGCGTATGATAAGTACAATATTCCGTCTTGAATTAAATTAATAATTATTGAATTCATTTTTTTTTCATTAATAAATAAAAAAATTATGCCTTGGCAATTTCTTCGTGAAACGGAGTGTTTTAACGAACTAAATTATATTGAACGCACCATAATCAACTAACGTAAAAATATGAAGTTTGAACACTGAACGCAGCGTCGCCGGCGCGAAGCTTGCTTGGTTGCTGTTTCTACGTGCGGCATTTTTATGGCGGCTTTTTATTAAAAATACAAAGACTACGAGTGATACACGGGTTTATATGGTTTTATTACTGTGGCTGTGTAGTATTTCAATATATCCTATGATACATCTTATTCAAGTAAGTACTTTTATTAATAATCGTATTTTGTTTAATAATTTTCGAGGCTTGGTTTTATAGTTGAATTTTTTTCTAATCCTCCATGGATCGCGAATTGTAGTTCAGATCGAACAATTTAAAGTGAAATTCATAAGCTAAATCTGTTATTTAAGTTCAGCAGTAACAATCATCTAAGCCAGTCGACACACAATAGTGCTAATCCTACCGTAGCGGAACAGGGCTTTGTGTGAAGCGAAAAAATAAATGAAACATTTTTGACGCTACACAGGTATGAGCACCATGGATATAAATAAGGTGGAGTATGAGGACGATAATAAAACCTTGGACAAGAAGCAAATTGAGGCTGAGGAGAAAGAAGTGATGCTTAAAGCTGAGGTGGAAAACATCGAGCCTGCGGAGTTGAAGCATGATGACGGGCCCGTGAAGACGGCCTTGTCCGGTGACCTTACGGAAATGGGCCGTGAGGTGAAGCCCAAGTTCATACCTATTGGGGCTATCAAAATGCCTGGATTTTTCACGAAAAATTCAGATAAAGATAAGTCTAAGGTAAATCTTAATTTATTTTGATATCAGTTGAATGTTTATAAATGGTTATCAAAAATATTGAATGATAATAAATTAAATGCATTGGTAAAAACATTTTGCTTCAGGATGAAGAGGCAGCTATTGAGAAAGACACAGAGAATGAAAAGACTGATGAAAACTCCAAAGTCAAGGAGAATCGTTTCCAATTTCTTCAGAAATTTACTAAATTCTTGCAACATCCAGAGAATGAAAATGGTGGTAAGTTATGAGATGAATTAAATTATTGTGCATTACAATTTATGCAATATGATTCCATTTATTTTTTCTTTCTATGAACAGCGAAACTTGTTACCAATTATCTATATAAACTGATCTGATAACAATATGGCTTCAAATGCTCAAAAAACTAATTACTGTCCATCTTCTTTTTATAAATCTCTACACTGCTAGCTAATACCTATTTCATTCCAAACTTGAAAGTGTGGGGTGTTCTATTATTTTGACTTGATATTTTAAGACCTATATCACAAAATGGGTCAAGTTAGTGGAGGATTTACTTTCAACGATTTCCAGGCATAACTAAAAGTATTAACTAAGATGCAGTATAATTAAGGAAGTAGAAAATTTAACTTTTCACTTATTTATTTCAGAGGAAAAAGATAAAGATCGAAAAAGAGGTTTATTTAACATTAGATATCCAAGGGTATTCCAAAAACATGGTAGTAACCCAAATAATGAAGCCACTCTTGCTTCTATGGAAACTTTGGATGACAAGCTGGATACTCCTAATGATGGCATGGAAACTGTAAAATTGGAACCTGCTGTAAGTTGCCTCGTTTTAACTAGTCAGAACCTGATTTCTAAATAAAAAAAAATTTAAATGCCAATAACCATTTCTAAATTATTTTATAATGTAATTACTAAAAGAAATAGTTTTAGGTTAGATTATTGTTTTTTTGTGAGGGGAAAATTATCAAATGACTTCTTTCGCCCACAGTGAGGAAGGACAGAGTGTCAGACTCTTACTGACTAAAACCCCTTGTTCCTCCTCCTGGTCTTGGCCAAAGGTGTGATACCTTATTGTGCTTACATTACATAGTTTCAAGTTTTAACTAAAAAGAACTAAACTGGAAAGATGAGCTCTTTAATCAAATAACAATAGTTTAACAATCCCCTACTTATACAATAAACTTAAATTGCTACAATTGGTTCCATCTTAATAAAATATGTAGCAGCTTTGTTACATGCTTTCTATCCGTAAACCATCATATGTATGTGTTTATAAGAGTAAATCTTTATTTTATAGGAGATTGAAGAAGGTAAAGTAGCCACCAAACTTCCACTTAAGGAAAGGATTCGTCAAAAGAAATTTATTATAGGTAAGATTTTTGATCTTATATTTGACAACTACTACTTAATAGTACCTATAAAACAGGTTTGAGAAGTGGAAGTTAATATATTGATTTTCTATTTTTCGTTCCAGATGACATTGTTGTGGTTGGGATTGTAGTGCTAGTATTGATAGCAGTTATCATTGGTATTATAATCGGCGCTAACGCAGGACCTCCAGTTGAACGACCCCTACGCCTTGGCCGCTATATCACAACTTTCACTAGCTGTGGACCTGTTGAAGGGTATGTGTCAGTTTAAAATGTATGATTGTGTCATATTTGATAGGATGTTTGTTTTAATTATTGTTTTTTATCTTTTTGTTACAGTATTCTGGATGAAGGAGTTTACAAGTTCTTTAGTATTCCCTATGCTAAACCACCAGTAGAAAATAACAGGTTTACTTACGCTCAGCCCTTAAATAACATATCATCTTGCTGGAATGGAACATACGACGCGCGCACAAAAGGTCCACTTTGTATACAATTTTTAGAAAATGCGACAATAACTGGTGAAGAAGATTGTCTGACTCTTGATGTTGTTACTCCTCATGTGAGATATGACTCGCCATTGCCAGTTGTTGTTTTGATTGGAGCAAATACTTTAGCTGGAGGCATTAGCCCTGCTCAACCTTCTGCTTTGTATGCTCGCACAAAAGAAGTAGTTTTTGTACGTCCTAATTTTAGACTGGGTCCTATTGGATTTTTAGCTCTTGATATTTTGTCGAATAGTAGGTACCCTCATACATCAGGCAACTATGGACTGAGTGATTTGTTTATTGCATTAAAATGGGTTCGTTTAAACATTAAACATTTTGGAGGCGATCCCGAATCTGTTACCTTGTTAGGTCACCGCGCGGGAGCAACATTGACAGCTGCTTTGACTACGACTAGTCAAGCTCATAAGTTGTATTCACGAGTCTGGCTATCCTCGCCGTCTGTCATCTTCCCTGGTGATCCATTAGAACAGTCCCAAAAATTAAATACAAGGTTCAAAGAAATGACGAAATGCAATGATGCTGAATGTTTACGCCAAATTTCAACGACAGAAATTTTAACACCAGATATTTGGCTGGAAAATTATATGGGAAAATTGCCTACTACCGAAGAATTTAAGCATTCTTTATTGGTGTTAGATGGAGAATTTCTTAGACTACACGCTTATGAAAGTTGGGATGCCCAAAAAGAAGCTAAGAAGTCAGGAAAAGAAAAAGTTTTTAAACCAATGGTATTTGGTACAACTCAACATTCTAGTCACTCTGATCTTTTAAAGAAAAAATATCTTAACTGGACTGCTGATGTAGTAGAGAAAATTGTCAATGAAAGTGTGATTGGTGAAAAGAACTTGACAGCTGCTGTGTTCACACATGTTAATAAAACTTACGAAGGTTTGGTAGAACTAATTTCTTCCATTCGTACATTGTGTCCTATGGTTAGTCTCGCTAGATTACGTCTCGAGGTTCCGATGTATGTAGTCCTTGGAGCAGGCGCTGGTGGTGGTGCTGGCGGGTCTGGTATAGCTGGTATAAATGCAGACGTCGAAGCCATTTTAGGAACATTCGATTCAGATATGCCAGAGCAGCGTCGGTACATGGCGGCTATGCAGCAGCTATTTTATTATTATGTATGGCATGGTCACCTGCCTGGCCCGGAGAGTGGCTTAATACAAGTTGGCCAAGATTTGCTCCCTCTTAATGGCTTGCCTCTTTGTGATTTACTAATTAGGGAAGATATAGTACCTAGGTATGCACACATTGACTAAGCAGAATGCTGTAAGAATTTGATATAACTTGTTAATATATGACTCTTGCTCCAATATTTTATACCAATGCTTTATAACTTTACACTTATAATAATATTCATTCTCGCTGTCTATTGTGTATGTGTTTGATAGATATACAAATAGTTAGTAACTATATTTACCGTAAAGTGTTATGGGAAACCAAATCAAGTATCTGCAAGGATACCATTTATGTTAAGTATTATTTATTGAAATTGTAAAGTACAAAATTTCTGACAATTATTTCTTGCTTTTGGATCTTATATCTTCTCCCTTAGACTAAGTAATGTAACAGTGAAATGTCTATTTACGCAACAGAATTAATAAAATGTTAGCATAAGAATAAATTACGTGACTGATGAAACATTGATCTTGCCTGATCAGGCAGTCTCTTTTCTACTCATTTTGTAATAGTAGTGTATATTAAAATTGTTTCAGTTACCTTATTTTTAGATAATGTGTTTTTCTACTTTTATATGAACAATTAATTATTTTTTATATATTTGAATTCTTAAGAAACATTGATCCTGAGGTTTTTTAATGAAAAATTATACAAGACTGATGAAATTTCAACCTGTGACCAGTTTTGCTAATCATTTAATATGACTTGACAAGGATGTGATCTTCCCCACTTGAAATATAGGAAAGAAAAATATGAGATATTTTTCATTAGTTATGAATAATAAAAACTCAAGATCAATGTTTTAATAATATTTGGTAAGATTTACTGCATTAATCAGCTAAAGTGAGAATAGACATAGAATTTGTGTGAAATTTTACTCAGGTAAATGCTTATAATTTAGTATAAGGATGTTAACCAGTGTCTGTAGCCATATACATCACATTAATGTCCCACCTTTTTTTACCAAATGTTTTTATAAATAGTTATATTTTACTTTTATATTGAAGTCACCCCTGAGATTAATTGTGGGAATGTGAATGCTCTCACTCTCAATGAAAATGGACTCATAACAGAGGGGCTACGATACGACACTGCATCGATAACAATGACGTGTTACAACCGGTGTAATATTAAACCCCCAATGTTGCATTTAATAGGAGGGGTGACTCATGATTGCGACAAAATCTCAAAATTTAATAGTACTTATTTAGTTCAATAATTGTCTCAAAGTAAATGTGATTTTATAAAGTCTGATTAATCCAAAGAAATGTTTAACAAATTACAGCATTATAATTGCTGTATAAATTAAGTTATTTATGTGTTATTATTATTGTAGTTCACAGGGAATCTCCATATCGATATACTCTTGTCTTGTCTTGCCAAATTGCTTTGTCATTAAGTTATTGCACTAGCGCTAAATGTAGTATAGATACAACTTTATTGTAATTTTGTAAATTGATCCAAATAAATTTTGTGTAAGACTGAAATATTTCTGTTATTATTTTTAAGATCTAAGTGTGGTAGCTAGCGAAGCTTCGGCACGAACGGGTCGTCTTGCCCGAAACAATACCACGGCCTATAAGAACACCGGCGTGAAACAATAACAGCTTTCTGTTTCGTCGTGTGAGTGAGGTTACCGGAGCCTCAATCCCTCTCGTTCCCCCATACCTTCCCAATCCTTTAATAAGTATCTGAAACCCTCATCCCTAAAAGGCCGACAACGCACTTTGACTCCTTCGGTGTATCCATGGGCGGCGCTGTTTGCTTACCATCAGGTAAATCCTCCAGTTCGTTTGTCTACCTGTACCATAATACCCAGAATTACAATTTTCGAGGTTGTGCGGTGCCGAAATCGAACCCGCGACACATTGTGCTTGCGTAACTGTCGGTAGCCCAGCTGCTACAATAAACAAAACAAATGCTGTTATTTATTTATTTATACTTCATGCAAATAATGTATCTAGTCGGCTACCATCGAGCCATGGCTGAGACAAGCAAACATAGCCTGAGGAGGATTTTTCCCGCCTTTGATTTACGTACTTCGCATCCTCCTTTGCGGGCATCTCATAGAGGAGACTACTTTTCAGTTCTTCTCCCTCCGCACCAAGACCACGCCTAAGGCTGGGCGCCTTTTGCACCCTGCGCTGACGTATGGGCATTTAAAATTGCAGCCGATGTAGACAAACAAGGCGAAGCTAACAAACCTTTCAGACCAATTTTGAATGGTTGCAGTTAACATTGAACCCAAATAATTATGCTACCTATTAAAAAACTTGATTTATCAACACTAGCTAGTCTTGAGTAGGTATGCTTTTATCTCAGAGTACCTACCTACATATTTTTTCTGGTCATTCTAAATGTTTTTCGACTGGTCCGTGTATCGGATCTTTACCAAGCGGTAGCTATTAGAAAATATGACCACCAACTTCAATAATTTTAACTGTTATTATGATTAGTGTAATTTTTTTTTATTCTGTATCCTGCTAACCACAGCCATCTGTCGTAGACATTTAGCTATTCCGTTGTTTGAGCTATGTCTGAAAAATTGTCAAGTTGAGCACGGGAAGTTGTCCATTGACTACTCTCTCAATTTTTTGGGAAATCGCATTATGAGATTTGGAACGCTATTCCTTCTCAGTCTTGAGTATATGATACTTCCAGAACCCTTAAGTCTAGCAGCCAGAGCATTACCATGTGTTGTTAATTTATGTTGGTACTTAAGACTACGCGCAGCGATTTCATCTTTTAGGCTAAGAACTCACGGAGCGATTTTCGCCCGCGTCCGCTGCGGTTCCGGGCCCGCAGCTTCTGTAGAATTCAAATATTTATATAAAAAATTAAAGCACATTTCACGACGCGTTTTACGCCCGCGATGTACGCGGTTGTATGCGGCTCCCGCTGTACCGGCGGGCAACTAGTAGAATCACCCGGGTGGCACCCGCGCGCTTTGCGATCGGTTGGCGAGCGACCGCGGGGGCTGGCGGATCTTCTGTGAAGTAAATATAACGCAACGGCTCGTTTCTGGTGTGTGTCCATGGCGATCTGGACCTCAACTGATCGTTAACCGCCTGTCTTGCAATCTTGCGATCATCGCCCGCCACGTTTGCGGGCGATGATCGCAACCGCGGCGGCTGTGTAACCGCGCAAATAACCGGTCTCGTGAGTTTGGAAATAAAACCGCAGTTCCGCTACCGCGGCTGGCACGGTTCAAAATCGCTCCGTGAGTTCTTAGCCTAACGGTGTTTAGCCTCAAATCGTACGTACAGAATATATTTGTTTTGAATGCACTTTGGAATGTTGAACATAGATCTCATAGCTTTAGTCTGAAATCTTTTCAATATAGAGAATATTGCTATTGCTTGCTGTTCCCCAGAGCTCTATTCCAAATGTCCAAACCGGTTTTTGAATATTTTTGTACCTAAACTGTCATTTTACTTTCATTGTTTAACTGGGATTTTCCACGAATCAGCCAATACATAGAGCGAAGCTTTGCGTCTAGTGCTTTTCTCTTGCTCCAGATATGTTTCTGCCATGTCATTCTCCTATCCAAGTGCATGCCAAGGTATTTTGCAGTAGGTAACAGCCACACAACAGAAAATTAAGTAGAAGTGCCCCTACACCGTGGTAACAGCATTCGGAATTTGTTCGCCCTTCAATGTAATCGGTGGATAATCGCCTTTTTTTAGGGTGCAAGTAATATGGGCTGATTTACTTTGATTAGCTTTTATTTTGCAGTTTTTCAGCCATTTTTCAATTTCAGTTAAATGGTTTTGGAGATTTGCTGACGCAATAACTGAACTAGAATTTATTGGCATTATTGCAGTACGTGTCATCAGCGTATGTTGCAAAAAAAGTTCTGTCATCTATGGGGATGTCAGCCGTGAGGATAAGGTACAACACGGAACCCAATATACTCCCCTGAGGAACTCCTGACCTGATCTCGAACAAATCCGACGGTATCTTTTAATTAAACCTCGTAGCATCTTTTGTCCATGTAGCTTTTTAGTAGAAAGTAGAAGGAGTATTAGTAGTAGTAATAATTGGCGACGTAAGCCATCGCCAATTGATATTACTACGAGTATTTTGGAATTAAATTACGACTCAGCGTACCTACGTATCTGCCTACCCCTTGTAGAAATTTTAGAGCGTAAAATAACGTACTTTTCAGACCGCGTTTTAACGACAGTCCAGCCTACGATTAAAACAATTTGTAATCTTTGGATAGTTTTATTTTTACACGAAACACTACAAATAATAGTAGTGGTATACGCTTTAGATATCACGAGGTGCAATGCCAACGAGACACTATTAAACGTCGTCTGCTAGGTAAATTAACTTTACAAGAATGTAATAGAAAAAAAGAGTCAATTTAATATTTTTATAGCGAGTGATAGGGCCTATGTCTCGTTGGCCATGCCCTGTATGGTTATCAATAAAAAATAAACAAAAATGCCGAAAAAGTATAAATAATTAATAGAACAACTTAATTAGAATTATGAATAAATTAGGTTTTGGTGCAAAATTCAACATTGTTTTGATAATGAACATTTTTATAAATAACAATTTCAAAAACACATTGCAAACTCGATTCGTATAACATTTCGTCAAATATAATGTCACAAATAAGTATAATGGTAACGAGGCTGGTCAATTTCGTTTTAATGATTACGTTCACGCAAAGGCGATATAATCGTCTGCAAGTTTTCTTTTCCAATTTTAGACGACTTTCGTAGAACGGAAGGCGATTTGGGTTTGTACTGTAACTGTTCAGAGTCTTTCTTCATTTTATCAATAATTGAAGACTGTTTAGCTATCGTCATTGTTAACTCCTCGTTTTCTTGACGTAGCAGCGATAACTCAACCACTAGAGATTGTTGGTCTTGGATCTGAAATTTGATAAACATTATTTAATATTGTGAAATTATCTTTGTTACTGTTTTTGTTGATGATTTTCTTATTATCTTACCTGTTGTTGTAGGCATTGGTTTTCAGATTCAAGCCGATTGATTTCGGCTGCGGCCTGCGCAAGCAACACTCGTGACTGCTCAGCGGCAGCTGTAGCCTGCCCTGCATGTTCGGTAGCCATCTCGCAAAGTTTGCGTTTCTTCTCAACCTAAAAAAGTTGGGTAGGTACTTAGACATAAAAAAATCCACACAAAAAAACGTTTATAAAATATTTGTATTTTTTTACCTCCTCACGAAGTAATTGAATTTGCGAATTAGACTCTTTTTTCAATAGCTCTACATCTTCTATCAGCTCATTTTTGATAGTGCCTAGTTCACGATAAGCTTCTTTTTCTACATTTTGTAAGCTTTCTATCAATGAAACATTGTGCTCCATAATGCGATTATGTTCTTTGGCTAATGCTGCTTTGGATTTTAATATATTTACTAAAGCCTCCTTGTATTCATTACATTCCATTGCAGTATTATTTAAAGTAGTTTTATAATTTTCAAGTTCATTTTCCAAAATTTCTTTTGTATTCATTAGTGTTTGTATTTTATCTTCCAAGTGTTCTAATTCGTTATCAGATTCCCTCAATCGCATAGTCAAAACTTCTACAATATCTCTAGTTACAGAGAGAGATGTTTCAAATTTATTCTTATCCTTTATAGCTTTATCTACTTCAACAGTTAGTTTATTTTTTTCATTTTCAAAATCTATGAGCTTTTTCTTAGCATCCTCTTTTAACTCATCTCTTTCCTCAATGAGGATCTGTTTTTCTTTGTTTAATGAGTCATTTATGGTTTTAAGATCATTTATTTCTTTCTGAAGGCTCATTTTTTCTTCACCTATTAAAGTTATTTTATATTTTAAGTCCCTGGTTTCGTTTTCTAGATGTAGAATTTTATTTTGCTGTTGTGTGTAGTCATCTTGAATGCTTCTAGTCCGCTCCTCAAACTGTATTTCGCAAAGTCGTAACTTTTCCCGAGTAGCTTCATTGATTTGCTCTATCTTAGCTTTCATTTCATTGTCTTTGCTCATTAATTCATTTTGAAGTTCCTGCACAGCCTCGTCTTTTTCTTTGAGCATTTGATTTTTAATTGATTCCATTAATGTTTTATAATTTGATTTAAGATTTTCTTGATCTGACTTTGATTTGTTAATTATTGCTTGCTTTTCCTCTTCCAATTTGGATTTCAAAGTTTCCAGCTCCGCCTTGTATTCACGTCGGATGCTCTCATTTGCTTCCAAAGCAAGAGCATGGTGTCCTTTTACCATTTCAAGTCTTTGAATAGTTTCCTCCAAATCTGTTTCAGCCTTTGTTAATTTAAGTTGTAGGTCCTGGCATAAACTATCTCTAATAGTGATAATTTCTTCAACAGATCTTAGTTCTAATTGCTTATCAGTAACTTCTTGTTCCAACTTTTCACATTGTTTTTCCAATTCATATATTTTGCTGTTCATTTGATTAATAAAATAGTTATCTCCATTTTGGACTACTGTTTCTATCTGATCCTGTTGGAGTTCAGAATCTTCTATTGTGATCTGTGAAAATTGTCTATCCAAGTTGTTCACATTACTCTGTCGAACTTGCTTCACTTGTTTCTCCAGCTGAGAAATGGTTTGTTTGAATTCTTCAATTTGTTTTATGTATTCAGCAATAGTGTGATCTTTATTTCTGAAACATTTTTTAAATTTTGACAACTTGTACAAACTATATCTTATTGTAAGTACCTACTTAAAGTTGTTGTAAAAATGTGTGAATTTAGTACTTAGATTAGATCTTTAGATATTTTTCTAAAATAATGTAAGAGTTTTTTTTTATTAAAGAATGATACCTTGATTCAATTCAGACAAAAGTCTTTACACATGAAACAACCAAGTGAAATTCTTTTAATCTATTTTCCTGGGTTATGAAACACAAATAGAATTAATAAAAGTCACCTAATTTCTACTTCCTGTGATTTAATTAGTTCTTTTGCAGTTTCATTCTTGATCTTAGAATTTGTTTGTTCATTCCTTTTTTTTAGGCTGGCAGGAGCTTTGACAGTAGATGTGGTTTTCAGTGGCTTTGGCTGTTAACAGAAAATTATATTAAGAATCAATTTAGCAAAGAAACAGCTGATTCAATAGATTTTCAACTGAATCAGTCTATTTAAGATTTTTAAAAACATTATTACAGAGTTCCAACTTCCCGTTCTTGGAAAGAAAGGGAAGTTTGTTATTGTGATCGACAAGCATTTAGTTAGGTGTTCTATTAAAAACACTTTAAAATTCGATTTTTGCAATAGAACTGAATATTTTTTTTTAAACTTACTGTTGCAAATGACCTGACGCTGTGTATGGAACTACACTGAGATTGCACATCACTACTGATCTTAGAACTTGTTGGTATAACAAATGGTTTTGGTTTGACCGCTGTTGTGGCAGGTTTTGTAATAACTTTTTGTTTCTCATTTTCTTGTTTAATTGGCTTATTCTGACCTTTTTTAGCAGAATCAGTTGGTGCTGTAATAATAAATTATAAAGGATTAGCTATGCACATAATTTTATTAGTAAGTACTTAAGTATTTAATCGAATATTTGAGTTTTCTAATATGTTCTATATTACTAACTCAATGACTAAATAAGTACAATATGCCAATAATCAATGAAAGAAAGTAAAACGTAATTTACTATTAGGTAACATCTCAATCAAAATACAATATGTTTTGTATTTAATCAGTGACACGTTTTTATGTCATGTACCTCCATACTATAAATAAATAAACGTTAATAATCTAGAAAATTAAACGTATGTAAGTAAGTAATAGATAAAGTAACTTTTTGAAAATAAAATCAGCTGTTGGTCTTACCAGATATAGTAAGTAGGTACCTATATTAAAAACAATACATATTCACTGGTTTTGTTAAATACGTAGATGGGGAGTGAAATATTTCTCTTATAGCTAATAACACAAGATTTAAATGACTAAACAATTATCATTTAGGTAAAGGTAAGGTAAGCTATGTAAGAACAGTCATGAAATGCCGCGAAAAACTTTCAGAAACAAAAATCGATCACTTACCGAGTGGCTCAAATCGCTTTGCTTTAGAAAACATTATTATTTAACAATTTAAATAGTTTTTAAAATCACTTTATATTCATAAATAACGAACTTACAAAATTCTAAATAAAATATGTAACCGTCAACGTTCGCTCCCAAATCTCAAAATGGAATAACGACCGCGCAGCGCGCAGGTAATAGGCGGTTGTAAAGTAGGGGATAAAGATAAACAACAGGGTGAAACGATGAATGCCCGCGCGCCTGTATTATTATTAATTCAGAGACGCACATACACCCCTGACCCCTGCTGATCGACCGATGGCGACGACCGTTATAAAACGTTCCATTTCACGTTCCAATTGAAATGATTTTTTTTGTATTGGTACCTATTCTTATTGTAAGAAAGTAAAACATTTTATTGAGAACAAATATGGTACAGTAATGTGTGTAAAGCTCAAGGCTTGGAGCACGAAAAGGAACGGGGTAATTTTTAGTCAGTAACTCTGACACCTGACACTCCCTTTCGGCACACCCAGGAGAAGGAAAGACTCAGCCGGGGTTGCGGGGTAAGCGCAATGAGGCACCGCGACCTCGGCCCAGAGCAGAAGAAGGAACGGGGGTGTTTTTAGTAAGTAAGAGTGACTCTCTCGCCTTACCTTTTTTTTTTGTTAGTGGAAAATGACTTCTCCCGCCCAGGGCCGGGCGGGAGGGAGTGTCAGACTCTTACTGACTAAAAACCCCCCTGTTCCTTCTCCTGCTGTAGGCCGAGGTCGCGGTGCCTCATTGCACTTACCCCGCAACCCCGGCTCTCTCGCCTTACCCTGGTCGGGAGAAGTCAGAGGATGATTTTATCCTGACAAAAAAAAAAGTGGAAGGAAAGACATTGATGGTTTCCTCCCACAAAATACTAATTTTGTTGTAAGTAAGTTATGTACTTACTACCAACACATAGGTAACTATGTTAAAAGGTATATGACAGTGAAAATTTTGTAGACATAAAATGAATAGGAGAAGTTCACCAATTCAGATATGAATACTATTATAGTTTAGTTGGTTTGAAGAAAATATTCATGGTAGGTATGTCTTTTTACATAGGGGTAAGTAGTAGTAGGTACAATACATACAAGAATTAGGTACTTTAATTTATTAGCTAACTTTGATTTAGATAAATACCAGATTCTAAACATATTTAGATATAAACACCTGTCAAGATTGTTTACATTTGGTTAATCACCTAAACCATAGTCAAACTCATAGTGGCATGGTAGGTCGACACCAAAGCACACTGTATTGGGTACCTACTCTGTTATGGATACCAACAACATTCATCACCAGTGTCCGTTACCCAGGCCAGATGTTGTCGACAATGGTCATTTGAATCTTATAGATAATTAGTTGTGCGGCTTCTGTAATTGTTGCGCACATTTTTGAATTTGTTGCGCTTATAGTTTTTTAATTATTTCACAAAAACATTTCCTGCTGGCGTAACGTTACCACAGCCAGACCTTTTTATTTCTAATGGGAATATTTAAATAAATATTAGCTATAAAATTAGTTGTCTAGATAAAGTAAATGTTGTGCCTTATTTTGTATTTGTTCTTTCTTCGGTTGCGAAGTTATTCGAGATTTTGCTGCGGTAACGTTTTTGGTTTTGCTAGATCTTTGAAATGGTTAAGCGCATTCTTATCATATTTTGTACACGACTTCCGAGGACTTAGTTTAAATTTGTTGTGCAATAACAAAACCAAAATAATGCATATTTTAAAGGATTTTTCATTAAATAGAACAACACTTCAATTGGCCCCAGCACTCTCAATAAGAAGTCTAAAGACTTACTTTAACGTAATTTTAAAGCTTGTAACTGCCTTCAAATGTATGTGAAGTTTCATTAGTATCCCGTAAGTATTTAACAAGTTATGATGATATTCAGTTCTTCACGAGCACGGTCTTAATGCACGCGGTGTTATTTGGCCACTGGATTGGATATATGAACTGAATGTTATGTCAATAATTAGTTGTTTAGATCAGTTGTATATCAGTAAAATTTCAGCTCAATACATTGGATAATTAATGAGATAATACTATGAAAGTCATTAGGAAGTGAATGACCGTGGTAAGCCGACCAAGTTTAGGTGGTTACGAAAAAGCGAAAACGCAGAACATTATGGTACCTTCTAAAATATGTAGGATAGTGTTATAAATTTAGTACAGACATGTACAAAAGTTTAAAAAAAAACTACAAGATTTTTTATTGAAAGGTAAAATAATCATTTCAATTGAACTTTTACTCCCTTACTTATAAAAAAATTGTGTTGCTTAGCAACCGATTAAACATCACCCGTCCTTGTCATTTCTATTTCAAAATGCAGTTCAAAAATCATCTAAAAGGTTACAAAAGTAACCTTCTGGCAAGACTGAGTGCGTTATGCAAACAATGTATTACCCCTTCACCCCACTCCTCCTGCGTCCTACCGAACGGCATGCTCTAGCGGTGATTTTTGATAATTTTGTGGAACTGGAAGATAATGTTTTCTTTTATATTATTATTATATAGGTATTAAACAGTGTACGCGTCTGTACCAAAATTGTAAGGTGTATTATACTAAACATTTCAAAAGATAGTACAATGTTCTGCGTTTTCGCTTTTTCGTAACCACCTAAACTTGGTCGGCTTACCACGGTCATTCACTTCCTAATGACTTTCATAGTATTATCTCATTAATTATCCAATGTATTGAGCTGAAATTTTACTGATATACAACTGATCTAAACAACTAATTATTGACATAACATTCAGTTCATATATCCAATCCATTGGCCAAATAACACCGCGTGCATTAAGACCGTGCTCGTGAAGAACTGAATATCATCATAACTTGTTAAATACTTACGGGATACTAATGAAACTTCACATACATTTGAAGGCAGTTACAAGCTTTAAAATTACGTTTAAAGTAAGTCTTTAGACTTCTTATTGAGAGTGCTGGGGCCAATTGAAGTGTTGTTCTATTTATTGAAAAAACCTTAAAAATATGCATTATTTTGGTTTTGTTATTGCACAACAAATTTAAACTAAGTCCTCGGAAGTCGTGTACAAAATATGATAAGAATCCGCTTAACCATTTCAAAGATCTAGCAAAACCAAAAACGTTACCGCAGCAAAATCTCGAATAACTTCGCAACCGAAGAAAGAACAAATACAAAATAAGGCACAACATTTACTTTATCTAGACAACTAATTTTATAGCTAATATTTATTTAAATATTCCCATTAGAAATAAAAAGGTCTGGCTGTGGTAACGTTACCTCAGCAGGAAATGTTTTTGTCAAATAATTAAAAAACTATAAGCGCAACAAATTTAAAAATGTGCGCAACAATTACAGAAGCCGCACAACTAATTATCTATAAGATTCAAATGACCATTGTCGACAACATCTGGCCTGGGTAACGGACACTCATCACCATTCACTTTGTGGTGCATTAAGAAATTACAAGATTTTAATAACTATTTTCTCATAATTTTCAATTTTAAATAACTGAACAATTAACACTTTTAAAATATTTTTTTATTACTTAATATTTTAATACATTAATTAATTATTCACACTCATTTACATTGAAGGTGGTGGTGGAGGTACAGGTAATAAGGGCGGAGGAGGAGGCACTCCCATTAATGGGGCACCAGGAGGAGGAGGAAGACGCATCCCATGATTCTCCCACATTTTAGGAGGAGGTGGGGGCATACGTAATGGTTCCATTTTAAATGCAAACTGTAAGAAGAACTGCTTGGTATCTTTATTCCAGTGAGTCCAAAATTTAGAATCATGTTTCTCCACTTCTCTACTGGGCACCTTGAATGCAATTGTCTCATATGGTTCAGCAGCAAATAACAAGTACTGCCACCTGCGGTCTGGAGGTTCTATCTTTTGCTCATAAGCAGACATGAATCTATGTCTCGGCTGTACTCCTTCAGCAATTTCTGTATCAAAGAATTAAATGGTTACCAAGTTGTGGGTGTTCAATCTGTTTTGAAAAATTTGCAGAAGTATTATCAAATACTATGATTTGAGTACTTGCAACAACTAAAATGTCATAATAAAGCTTAGGATTTATACATATCTCTGCTGATAATCTTTAGAACTTTAGACCTATATTATCAATTTAAATATTTTAGTATTTGCTGCTACTTACCAGGATAATCCACTTGAAATAGTAGGCTTTGTTGTCCATTTTCAGGGTCTTTCTGTTTTGTAACTCTGTAACCAGGCCTTCCTATCTTGACAAATTTTTTAGGTTCAATTCGAGGCTTCTCAGGAGCTAGTTGTTGTGGGGCCTCTTTGGCTTCTTTTGCAGCTCTACGAGCTAAATTGGCTTGATGCTTCTTACCCTGAGTATGGGCTAAATAACTTCCCTCATTGTTGTGAAGGGTTAAACAAAGCTTGCACTCATATGACCCTGTAAATAAAAAAATATTGTTAATTTAAAGATACATGATACTTTATTTACAGCCACTGTAGTTGAAATTATTTCTAGGTTATGTTAGTTTCTCTTTAATCACTTTTTAGTAAAGTATACATACCCAAATGATTTTTCATAAAATATGGATCTTTATTTAAATCAATAGTTTCCAACGCGAGTTGACGAAGCCTTTCGCGTCGATCTCGATTACTTTCAGACCATGATGCTACTCCTCCACCACCAGTTTTACCGCCGGGGCGATTTTGAAAATCCATTTTAATTAAAAGTAGAAAATTCTTAAATTTATTTAACCTAAGTGCGAGACAATATTGTGTGTCTCTAAAACGTATAAACTACAATATTAGTAACAGTTGACGCTGTGTTGTCTAAAAATCATCAGCGTCGTACAATCGAGTCGAGACGTGAATTGACATATGCACTGTCAGTTTGAAGTCAGTGTGTCAGTGTCTTTGAAGTGGCTTCTCGGCCTTTTGGCTAAGATCAAAATGTAGTGTATAGTGAATTGACATGGAACAACTAAGCAGCACTACATAGTGCACTCACACACACACACACACACACACACACACACAAACACACAAACACACACACACACACACACACACACACACGTGTTATTTGCAGTATACGAATAGAGTAGGTAATATATGAACGCATATTTTCTTTGATCCTCAATCCTGACGTTCTTATTATATGATTACTCTATCCACCTGACATTTCAGAACAGACAGAAATATCTCCTAAACTTAACATATGACTTTCTGCTTTTACCTTAATGCAATGTTTTTTATCAAACCAAAGAGGGTATTTTTACCTTTATGTTGATAGATTTAGACTAAGAATGTATATTTGATTTTATAATATCTATTTCAGATTTTCTCGAAGAAAATACGAACTATATCATTGACGTCAGCTAGGAATAGCTTCACTAAGAGGACTGACCGACAGACTTTATATCTTTAAAATTTTGTTTGACGTTCAAAAGTGCCTTTAATGGTCTAATTGAAATAAATGATTTTGACTTTTGACTTTTAGGCCCAGAAACTCTTGACGTAGGTAATGAAGGACATTTTGTAGTCGATCTTGATCTAGATGGAACGTTTACCCTCTTACGTGAATCTATATGCCACCTGACCGTGACATACCTGTTGCAATTTCAGAAAATAAACAATATTATTTGATGTGCAAATAAAGGTGTCAGTAATTACTGTGTCGTGGTTTGTCGTGTAGCATTTAAAACTTGGCGTGGTGGTCCAGAAGCCCAGTGGGCAAGGCCAATGTGCTGACATTGTGCGGCCAAATTCTGCATTACATGTCCTTTCTTAGTTGTAGTAGACATCACTGACAAAACTTTACTTGCATTTAAAATCGCCATTCTCCTTGAGCAAGCGTGGTTATTAATTAATGCTCAAACCTTGTGTCTCTATCTGATAAGAAACCCTGGCACATCAGTGATAGGCTGATGAGTATCTAATAAAGACATTAATAAGTTGCTATTTTTACTGAGCCGGGGTCGCGGGTTAAGCAGAAAGTAGCCCAAAGCAGGAGAAGGAGTAGGCGGGGCGGGGTGAGGGAGGTTAGTCAGTAAGAGTCTGATACTCTCTTACCTTACCCTGGCCGGGAGAAGTCATTTACTATACCTACACATTTACATTTTACATACATGCATACCTATATACATTTACTGAATACTACATACCCAAGTTAAAAGATCAAAAGTATTTTGTATAATATTTTCTCTATATTCAAGAATTGTTTTATAATTTTTTAAGTGATTATTTAAATGCATATATTCTTCGATGATTCATCAGTTTCTGCTTTAGTAAAGCCCGCACTACAATACATGCAATACTGAGTGCCCGGTTTATCCAAATTGATGAAAATCCGCGGATGTCCTTCCGCTCCACTGCCACCGTCACACCATGCGACCCTCCCTGTTATTTCTTTTGGAGGCATTGCAGCAACCAACTTTACCGGCCAATTGGGGTTAACTAGTTTTGGAGAGTGCATAAACCTGCTCATCCGATAGTCACGGCAATCCCACTTTTGACCTGTATGAGTAACAACGTCATTTACTTTAGTGGCCATATAACGGAAATTTATTGGTTTAGTATTTTGAAACGCGATCCTAATAAGGTTCCTCTGCATTATTATTCACATTTACTCGTTTGTTCGATCAATCTTTAAGATGTTATTTTTTTGAAGTAAGTTTCTAACCGTTTAGGTTTGGTATATGTCAAAATTGAAGATATATTTTTATTTTTCTTAACTTTTTGTCGTGTGACGAAAAGATTTTATTTGAATTTTAGTCGGTAGTGGTGAGGTATACTTAATTGTATACTTTTTATCAGTACTACGACTGTTGTCAATTTAAATGATCTTATTCATAGTGATTTATATTGAAAATCACTTAAGTTTAGTTATTTTCCACTTGCATAACTGTGACGTGGTTTCAAATTGCACTGGTCACGTCACGTGTGTTGTCTTCTTAATTTTTAGCTTCTCAAGACAGAAGAGGTTTGGCCCCCTACCCTTGTGATATATTGCTGCCACACAACATCCTGGATTCTGACTGTATGGTGGACCCTTTTCCAAGGTGGTTTTAAGGCATGTTTTCGAGTAAATATTTGCTGCATCCCACTGTTCTCTATTCAGCGCCACACAAATCAAAAACGAATTGGAGTTTGGTAAATGGGATACCAATAGAATCTTCTCCTTGGTGCTAAAAAGGAGGTTCATGGAAGTGTGTATTTTGCCCACCCACCACCACCACCCACCCTATAGCGCTCAAACCATCAAAAGTCTACACTCAAGGATTGCCAGCGAGCCATTGATCGCGGTATCTTAGGAGTTCGATTATCGGATAAAATATTGGAACGCGGCAAGCCTCAAGTGGAACTGGGCAGGACATGTTGGCCGCATGTCTGAGGCAGGCCCAGAAAGACATTGCGGGACGTACTTGACATCTTTGACCAGGATTGGCCACAGAAAGCTTTGTGCAGAAGAAGTAAACGAAGAGTAGGGAGGCTTTTGCCCTACAGTGGGACTACAACGGTAACAAAAACAATAAATAAGACCGCAAGGCAGTTTGTGGTGAGCTGTTGGGCAGTGGCGACCTCGCGAACCTGACTTTCGGGCTAGCGTAACTAGCTGGAGTGAACACTGATAAGAAACGAGCCCTCCTACCTCATTCTTGCCTTAATTGTCTAACTTTTGGAGAATCACAAAAGTAGTTGAAGGAGACACGGGGAAGGATGTATCTCTGTAAGATACTGGTAGGGGTCTTGACCATACTTCCGGGATTGTACTGATAGCCGTGATGCCTTTCCTTCCCCAAGCTACTCAACATATTTTTTTTAAAAAAAAAAACGTCGCCCCACACTAAGATTTTCACAAACACACATATTCACATACACAACACACCCAGACCCGAAACAACAATTTGTGGATCACACAAAGTGTTGTTCCGTGCGGGAATCGAACCCGCGACACGTTGCACAGCAGCCAGTTGCCCAGCCACTGCGCAACCGTGCAGTCAAAACATATGATACCGGCGTGTCGGCACATGCTGGCGGGGACCCATAATTGAGTTTGCCAGTCACCCCCGGCCTGATTAGCCGACCGTATGTATCAATACGCCCCTTTTTGATCAACATGTAAAATTGAACTCCGGCTGATGTCACATATTGCTAATATTTAAACTGTTTAAAGGGACTCTGCGAATTGGCTTCGGCTCCTTGTACGACTTCCAAAAGTCTGGGACTCTGTGGTCCCTTGAATGGAAGCGAACATACAAATAATAAAGAATAAAAGAAAACATTGCAGATATGAAATTTACACGAAATGTCAATAAAAACAACAAATCTAAGGTAGCGGTATTTTATTGAGCTTATGGTCTTCGAGTTTTTCTCCCGATTTAGGTGTTAAAATAATTATTATCAAATTACAAACAACCACAATGTTGTTTTTATATTGCAAATAATAGATAAATGCATAAATTAGTAAAATCGACTAAAATGTTTATGTTCAAAAACTCAACATTTTGAAGTCTAACCTGGAACGACATTTGCATGTCAAACGTCAAACTGAGTTTAGTGATTCTTTTCTTTTGTCAAAATAGGCGGAAGGTACTTTCAGACTTTAAAATCTATTTAAATTTTTGTAATCTAGAATATTTTAACAAATTTAATAATAGAATTGAAAACTATGTCGCATAACAAATAACGTGGCATAAATATTTCACATATGTGGTGGTCAGTGGTGAATAAAAATTGACATAACCTAAGTGCTTATTCTGTGTCTTGTTTTTAGGTAGTGCTTCAAGATGTTGATGCCTAAACAGAATCGCGTTGCTATTTATGAATACCTCTTTAAAGAGGGTGTTATGGTAGCCAAGAAAGACTACCATGCTCCCAAACACCCCGATTTGGAGAAGATTCCTAACCTCCAAGTCATTAAGGCTATGCAGTCTTTAAAATCCAGAGGATACGTTAAGGAACAGTTTGCCTGGAGGCATTTCTACTGGTAAGTGTTAATATTGCCTTTTCATTTAATGTTTACAAATGAAAATAAACTTTTATTCGAAGTTTTTATAAGATCAATAGTAGTCACTTCCCCTGGTTTAATTAAGTTTTATTTATGTGTTCATGTATAAGATACCACTGTTACTTATTTGCTGTTATAAATTAATGTATAGATATTAAAGTTACTCCTTGAATACACTTCAAACCATACTTATACATTGTGTGCAAGTGTTTGCTAATGTTTACCATTTTACAAATAAACATGTGGTATTTTTAGGTACCTTACCAATGAAGGTATTGAGTACTTGAGGATCTTCCTGCACCTGCCTCCTGAAATCGTACCCGCAACCCTCAAGCGCTCCGTTCGCGCTGAGACCGTCCGCCGCGGCGCCGTTGGCCGCCCAGACGCTCCCGCACGCTCCGCCGAGGACCGGTCAGCATACCGTCGTGCGCCAACCACACCAGCTGCACATGACAAGAAGGCTGATGTCGGCCCTGGATCTGCTGATCTTGAATTCGTAAGTATAACTTTAAACAGCATAAACATTATTTATTAAATAAGTTCAACTCAATTCAATACATTGTTCATTTTTAAGTAGTTAGAATCTAATTACATTATTTATTAAATAAGTTCAACTCAATTCAATACATTGTTCATTTTTAAGTAGTTAGAATCTAATGGTAAATGGGGTGAATAGAGACAGAAGAGGAGCAAATAGATACTAGGAAAATTTGCCAACATCTATTCACATCTAATACATTTATTCATCATGTTTTATGGTATTTGTAACACTTTGTCCGTTGTGGTGGCCTAGAAGTTAGGTGCCTGCTTCATAGACACATGATTGTGTGAGTTGAAACCTTATGGTATCAATGTGTAAATATTTCTGAGTGGTATGTATTTTTTACAAAAATTATACACCTAACCTGAGCTTTCATGTTATAACATTGAAGTATCCAATCTGTATAGAGCAAGGGTGGTGATTAATGTTGAGATGAGGGAGCATTTGCTCAGTTTTAGGCTCATATAGGTTGATAATAAATATCACATTACTGATGCACATTGCCAGTAGATTAGATGATTGTCTTCAATTACATACTGAAATAATAGCAAATCTTTGGAAAGAAAGGCTCACAATTTTACTTTTTACTAAACCTGTTTTTATTTCTTCGTCTTAATGAATGAATTGTTTGTAAATTGTATTTTTATCTAACAATTTGGATTTCTTTAAGACTTTATTTTTTTTTCCTTTGCAGAGAGGAGGTTTCGGACGAGGCAGGCCTGCACCTTAAATATAAGTTAATAAAAAAAATCTAACGTAAATCTTATTGATTTTATTTATTAAATTATAAACCTTCTGTTAGAGAAGCTGAAAAGTCATGTTACCCATCTCTCATGAATGTGTAATAGAAGGTGTGAAGTCTGTGCTGAATTTAAATGATGGTAATGGATGGAATGGGATGTGAAACAAAATCATTATGATCTTTAGAAATCTTAAAAAAAAGATAAACTTGTGATGTTTGGCGTGGCGGTCTGTCTTGTAATGCGACCGATATTAATGGGATGGAATTATGTCATGTGAAAGCTAGATCTGACAGAACCAGCTGGCACAAGGGCCACGGGAATACCCGAAGTTGAAACAAACATTGTGAATTGCTTCAATTTTCTCCTGATAACTGATAGATCTACCTTATGTAGATCAGCCAGCAAACGCAGCAGCAAGCAGTTCGGCAAACGAGCAGACGTATTACCTGATGGTAAGCAATCGAAGCCGCTCATCAACACCCAAGGAGTTACGAGTGCGCTGCCGACTTTTTAGGGAGGAATGCAACACTGGTTGTTTCACGTCGGTTGTCTGTGAGGCCCTAGTTTCACTCCAGTCAGGGGTTTATAGAGTAAATAAACGAAAAAGTTATTATCACTAAGTTAATAATTTCAGGTTCAAATTTTGTTTACAATGAACTACTTAGTACTCCATAATTAAAGACGAAATGGAATCTATATATTTCACCAAACGTTAAAATTAGAAAATGATGAGAAACTGGAATTTGCAAGAACCTACAGATTTTGGATTATCTTGGAAAATAATAAAACACTGAAAGAAACAAAAAATAATTTATTCAAAATAATCTACAAAGTTCCTACAAGAACCCAGTTGGTATTTAGAATAATTCCTGAGTTAACATGATTTTATATTTACGTCATTTGATATTTAAGCTTGAACTTTCGGATTCGGTGGTGTAGGGAACTCTCCTACCTTGGCCATATAGTATTGGTAAGCTCGGAATGGCTTCAGTTCCCATGGTACCTGATCCTCCATGTTTGTCAAAGTAACACCAAGATCTTCCAATGTAGGAAGGCTATCATCAACGACATCAGTTGTAGATTCCTGCAATGCAAAAATTGTTATGGTTCTCTATTAGGATGAATTATACTGTGGAAGATAAAGAACCGGCGCGCGGCGTAACAATTTGTGACCTATACTAGAAGTTCCGTGAGAGAATCGAACACGCGAAACGTTGCGCTGCAGCTTTCTACGTAGGACCCGCCGTAAGATAGGTACTTATAGCCGATCTTACGAGATGTCCTTTTCCGAAGTGGTTTCCCCGTCCTCAATTGCTCCAATCCTCATAATCCTACCCAAATGCCAACAACCCACTGGCAACGTTTCTATTGTTGTGTTTTACATGGATTGGTTACCATCAAGTAATCCTGCTCGTTTGCTGCTCTATCCCAAAATAACCGGCAAAGTGCGAGTCGGACTTGACCGCAAAGGGTTCTGTAGATTTATAGTAAATCTACTTACAAAATCAGGTTAAACCAATTTTCGGTGGAAGTTTGTATGGTAATGGAGATTTTTATCTTTCTCTAAGTATTTAATATAGCAAGTTACAATAGGATGGGGGAGGGGAGGAATACAATGCTATTTTGGAAGAGTATCTCGCGCAAAGTAGCAAAGTAAAGAAAAAATATACCATTTATCAAATTTTCACAGTATAGTTGTTCCCTAAAGTTCGGCTGTGACATCTCTAAATACGGACGGACAGAGAGACAGGCGGACAAGGTAAATCTATACTTTCTGGGTTCAGTTACTGTCATTTGGCTACAAATCATGGAGAAGTGCATAATAATTTGTCTCTCGTTTTGTACTTTTCTAAATAAGTACGCGTGTACGGTTGGTTTGATTACGCTCTCGTAGCGCTCGCAGTCCTTCATTCACCGCATACAGTCAAGCATGTTATGATTTTCGACGGGGTTTTATACTCCATTATACCATAAATATAATTAAAAAAAAAAACCTTTTCAAGTGCCTCCCAGTGCAAGCCTCCCAATGGGTATGATGGTGAAATCAGGTTGACGAGGTTTACTTTAAGAGGGAAAATAATAGGATCATATTTCATGTCGTAGCGTTGGTATCCCCAGTATTTTTCGTCTTTGCGCATTAGAGCAAAGAACCAGTCAACCAGATCCGCTAACAGGTACCTTTTAGGCCTAGAAACAATGAATTGAAATGCTTGGAAATGTGTTTTTTCACAGATAAACAGAATATATTATTTAAACTACTAAAAAGTAGTAATTTATTTACCCAACTGCTTGGTAAACTTGGCATCTAGTGTCGGGGTCGCGAATAGCGTTTATAATTCCCTGAGCGACATCTGACACATAAACAGGCTGTTTAATGGTTTCCAAGCCATTCTTGTACAACGCCATGTACTGTCCATTGATACGCGTAGGTGAAGCAAAGGTTCTGTAATTGAAAAACATCCAATTTAGGGTGGATCTTTGGAGTGAAACTGGTGAAAGCTAATAATCTAGGTTACTTTACGAGTATGTAATGTTTTTTTTTATGACTACTTATTGAATAATGTTTAATAATTGGCTTTTTGAAGGCTGGAAATAATAAAAAAAAACCGGGTTCACGGGTTAAGCGCAGAGTTACCACGGCCTCGACCCAGAGCATGAGATGGATTGGGGGGGGAGGGGAGTAGTTAGTAAGAGTCTGACACTCTCTCGCCTTACACTGTGCGATGATTTTTCCCTGACAGAACAGAATATCTCAGACAGAATTTATTTTTTAATTAAGTATGCAGCTTTCTTACAATTTCATAAAGATGCTGAATTTATGAAATTGTTGAAACAATAACTACATGTGTTAGGATGCCAGGGTTGTAGATGCAAGCACAATAAAATATCGCGGCCCTAGACCTGTCCCAGAGAGGAGAAGGAACAGGGTGATATTTAGTTAGTGAGTCTGATATTGTATTGTCTGTCACCCAGTGTGGGAAAAGCCTGAGGGTAAATTGCAGTAAAAGAAAAATTCTATTTGGTAATATAGACAAAGTTAAATTGGAGAATGACTTGCCATAGAAATTAATTAAAATATTTTGATAGTATATGATGGCAATACCTCAAAAATCTATCTTCACTGCCATAGATGTCAGAAGCACGAATGATGGTAGCTGTAGGGAACTCCTCCCTTACTGCACACTCTCCCCAGTACTTGCTGATCTTGTACATGGAGGGTTTCTTTAGCACCAGGGGTTTAGGTTTTGGTGATGCATTTAGGTAAGACACATGAATGAATCTCTCAACACCCATTTCCCGAGAAATCCTGAAAAAAATATCAATCAGTGCATAATAGTGTTTCTAATTTAATATAGTATATAAATTATACTAAATGCTCATATTATTATGTTATACTAAAGTCAAGTAGTATGACTGCAGTGTAAACATGCCCATGTCAGAAGAATTGAATTTAGTTTGCATATAATATAGTTTAGTTAACACATAATTTTCATTATTTTATCTGAATTCAGATCATACAAATAGATACTTAAATGCTAATGATGCTTAATGCTAATACCTGGCAAGGCGTCTTGGCCCATCTACATGTACATCCTTGTATTTAAAGTTCTTGGTCTCATAATCACGCCCCACTAAGTTGATGACAACATTAGAGTACTGCACAGCTTTAGCAATAGACTCCTCATCTCGAAGGTCATAAGGTGTAAACAACACCTGACCCAAATCTCCAGCCACTTTCAATCTCTGGGCTTCATAGAAATCACTGCGATAGGGCAAGATCATCTGAAACAATATGTTCCAAATTTGAGAGACTTGTAAAATCCATTTACTATGACAAGTTTATTTTTCATTAAATTTTTAAATAATTCACATAATACGGTGGTTAAATTTTGAATATCACGTCAAACAAATTGCACCATAACAGCTGACCTGTGTTCCATTTTTGCCCAGTTTATTGCACACATAGCGCCCAACAAATCCAGTGCAGCCAAATACTGTTGCTACAACTCCATTGAAACTGCAACGACCGCCTGTGCCCCGCTTGTATGCAGCTATGTTCGGCTTACTCCCATCTGAACTGTATGAGGCAGACTTGATGTAAACAACGCTAAGAGGCCCAGTAGTGGCTGAAATTGCACATTTCAAAGTTCAAGTAAGAGTCAATAACTATCACAATATGAAAATGCGATATCATCTCATCAAACTCCTCATAAATAGGGTTATTTTGAAGCTTTTAAACAAATTATGTAAGAGTTAAATTAACCAATAGTAGCAAGTCTTTTATCATCCGACTAAACTTACGCTTTATTTTAGTAACAAAATGGCCTGTGAGAGCAGCTGTTGCCATTTTCAGGCCAATAAAGTAAAGTTCTTAGCTGTATTTTATCTCAAATTCCCATCAAGGGATGAGAAAGAACCAAAAACTATAATTTTATCGAATTGTTCGAAGACAAACGTCACTCAAATTAGACTTTGACATTTTTGACAGTTTACGAAGCACAGAAAACAACATGGTTGTTAGTTTGTTAACTCTTTTATATTAGCTACCAATATACGATTTCAATCGATATTAATTTTGTAAATTCCTACCCTCTTTTGAGAAGGAACCGTTATCAGGACTTCTCGCCTTGGGCGGGGCGAGACGGTTTATCAGATACAGACTAACTAAAACCCACCCAGCTCCTTCTCCTGCTTCAGGCCGACGACGCTTGACTAATATGTGTAATATGCCTTATATATACTCATGGACGTGTTACCCATTTTATGACATTATTATATACTTTTGGATAATACCTCAAGCAAAATGTGTGCAACGGCACTATTTAAAAAAAATATTGGTCACCCTCGAATGAAATGTCAATGTCAAATTGTCAATGAAGAAGGAACGTCGTATTTCTGTGGTCTCTGGTCAAAATACAATCAATTTTTATGTTTTTGTGCTGTCTTAATAAATTTATATAAATAAAATAGAGAGTATCGTAATAGGATTGGATTGGGGATTGATTTTATCAATTGTTATTTATTAGAATTTATATCACAAAAAATATGCTGTTATTTTAAGTTGTGAGTGGTTTGTTTGAGAATAGAAAAACAGGAATTGACGAAACTTACAATCTAACACCTTATAAGATTTATTGCAATCCTTTTAACATGGAAGAAAGTGATATTGAAGTTCTTGGTTCTAATGGGAATGTAGAAGAGGTCTGCCAAATATTACAGCACTTCCTGAAAAAAGTAAGTTGTATAATTAGATTAGAGTGAAGCTTAAGTATAAAGTATTAACAATCACGTCAAATCAGCTGGATTTATCGGTCGCCACTGCTGAGCAATTTCTTCTCACACAGAGAAGCGTACTTGCTCAAGGCAGGTTGGCAATTTAAAATATAATAAATATATGATTAGAAATTATAACTCCTGGTTCCCCCAAGGTACTTTCCTTCTCCATAAATTTCCACTAAGAAAGTAAATACGTATTTTGTCCTTACTTGAAGACCAATGAAACATAAATTATAGGACTTATAACAATAACTGTATATAATTTTCAGAATGAGAATGCTTTTACCTTCCCTAATTTGGCAGAAAAGAATCAAAGAGCTATATTATGGACAGCACTGTTTCAACGCTTACAAGATAAGTCTTCAGGTCCAGCCCATGCTCTTTGTCTAGCAGCAATCAGAGTACTGAGGTTTGTAATACATGTAAAAAATTTAATGTTATTGTTTAAAATTAAAATATTTTAATTTAAAATAAAATTCAAAAATTAAGATATTTTAATTTAACATTCTGTAATTACTATGTTTACTTACAGCCGAGACAAAACTGACCTTGAAAATTTAATCTGTGAGAAATGGATAACAACACTCATTGAAAGAGCAGGGTTATATAATTTCGAAGCTCTTGATGAAGAGGCCATGGTACCGCTGGAGGTAATGGAGAAGGATGTTGCTGTTGAGGCATTAAAATGTCTGTGCAATTTGACTTTTAACAGTGAAGTGGCCAGAGCTCTTTGTGCCCACACATCTATAGCACAGGGATTAGTAGCCCGACTAAGAATTTACAAAGATATGCCATTCAAAGAGGAAATCATGCTGTTTGACTTGAAGTTGCTGTTTATTCTTACTGCTTTGAGGCATGACATTAAAACTAAAATTAAGGATGAGCTCCATGGCATGGAATACTTGATTAATTGTCTCGGGGAAATATTGTCAGAGGCTTCCAATGCTGAAGATCAGGCTGCTAGTAGTAGTGGCTTGGTTGAAGGGGCCCACCACTGTTTTCTACAGGTATGAATTGGTAATATTATTCAAACTGTTTAGCATCCTTTTTTCAAATAACACAATGTTGCACAATCAATGTATTAGAATTTATGTGCAATCTGTTTTGATCAGTTTGTTCACCTATCCAGGACAATCAACAAGCCATAGTCTGTGAGATTCTCAAGACCCAGTTCAACTTGATCCTGCAATCTGGTTCTGAGGAACCTACAGATGAGGAGGAGGAGGCCATGTACCTAAAACTGATGCCGGTTATGACTGCGCTCCTCTATGCTCACACTTCAACTGAGGAGAAACTGATGGAGCTGAGAAGCAATATAGCTAATTTGCTAACAAGGTATGATTACTTATGGAATAACCCTATACACTCATCATTTTGTGTCTTATTTACAAAATCCTCAACAATCCTGTCTATTCTCTCTATCTGTGTTATCATATATTCTACCAAAGTCCTATCTAGATCATATATTCAATCTCACCATGGAACATAAAGCCTATTTTTACTTTTTATTCTTTTACCACTTCTGCAGTGACTGGAATTCCCAGCCACCAAATGTTTGTGACTAAACTTAATTTACACTTGTATCACACATTACTTTTCCTCAAGAAGTAAAATATTGTTATGTATATTATTTTCATAATATATATTGATTTTTATAATATGTATGATTTAGTGTATTAAGATACATATAGGTATTATACTAGTTAGAGATGTTTTTGTTTATAATATTTTGTCATATTTCTTTTGTTTCGTATTTTAAACTACTTACTTATTTTGTGTGCATAAATAAATTAATTCAAGTACAATTTTTAAAACATGACTAGTCATTATCATCTTTAGTAAGTTAATATACTGCTGGATTATTGGTTTCAGCAATTATAGTATAAGAGGGTTCACCATAATGTCTATTCTCTACACTGCATGAAGAACCAAAGACAAACAACTACTCTGTTTTTACACAGCTTGTATGCAAAGTTAACTAATATGACATGTCTATCTTATATTTTAATTCTGTTTCAGTGTTCCTCCAATGTTTTACCCCTATTTGACTCCAGAGCTGACTAAAGGAGAAAGAGCTCAGTATGAGTATGATGGGAGGAATATGGATGCATTACAAGCTCTTATACTATTGTTGCAATACAGGCTCAACATAACTACAGTATGTACAATCATTGTTATTAAACAATGTCTACACATTTATATTAGTTCATCTAGTATGTCTTAAAATATACTATTGCTTATTTCAGGGCACTAAGAATCAATATGAAAACTTATCACCAATACTGACAGTGTTGAACAAGAGTTCGCGTGGATGCCGTTCCCAGAGGAAGTACCTACGTCAGGTGGTGTTGCCACCTCTACGTGACGTGTCTCGTCCTCCCGAGAAAGGAAATACCTTGAGGAACCAGCTCTGCAGGCTCTTAACTACGCCTGTGACGTCAGTCAGGGACTTGGTTGCCGAGTTTTTGTTCATCCTGTGCAAAGAAAAAGGTATTCCTCAGTTGACTTTTAATTGACTAAAAGATCTAAGTATTGGTGTGAATTTTACAAGGAAACTTAATTTATTATTATTTTCCTTATTTATAAGGCTAAAGCGAAGTAAATATATAGGGGAATATTATGAATGGGTTGTAATGTATACGATTTTTACCTAGTAGTTTGCTTGCGTGATATCCTAATATGCTATAAGAAGCCTATTAAATCCGTTCCCAAGTACCAATAATTACATATATTTATGTTAAATTAAAACACAGGATAATGTATGAAATCGTATAACACAAACAAGATTTGTGTAAGTGTAATTTGTGAATATTTTTGTTAAAAGTGGGCCGCATGGTAAAGTACACTGGTTTCGGCAATGCGGCCGGTCACCTCGCACAGAAGGGGCTTCTAAGCGGCGGCCGAACTGGCGACTACTCCTCTAGCAGCGACGACTCCGACACTGAAGAATATTTAGAGGCACAGCCGAATATTGACCCCGTCGTGGGATGCACGCGACCTCCCCGCATTAATCCCTTCGAAGGAATGAGTGATGAACAGGTACTGTCTTATATGTATGAACTTACTCCCAATCTTTCTTGGTCATTGCATCTTATGTGGAACAGCTGTACCAATTTCCTTAGCCACTTTTGTTGTTTGATAAAGTCAGAAGAAGGCTCTTGTTATAATGTCTACAGTATTTCTGTAGAATTGTATATACATATAAGTGAAATGTAGCTATAATGTATCGTATGTGCGTCCTCATTTGCGGTCAATGCTAAGTATTAAGTACCTAGTAATCCAATTAGTCATGCACTACACTATTGAAGGTATTATACCTATTAGTAGTTTTAAAACAGAATGTTGCTCTTAAAGAAAGCAATTTCTTTTCGCAGAAAGAGTATGAAGCAATGAAGTTGGTGAATTTATTCGACAAGATGGTGACTGAAGGCGTGATGAAGCCGGCACGTATCGGGCCCGACGGTCGCCCGCAAGCGGTGGAGCACGTGCTTGAGCTGAGGGAACATCCTCCGAATAGACCACAGTCCTAAAGAAACGAGATGGTATAGAGGACTCCAACATGAAGTACCTTGTCGTATATTTGATGCACTATGGTATAGGCAATAACAGGAAGAACGTCAAAGAACGAATCGTGCTGTTGATTCGGATCTTTTCTGATTTCGATATTATCTGCCCCAGACATGAATACATCATTCATTTGGATCTGGGTGTTCTCAGAATGTATTTGTGAGGAATTGCTGAATCCAATATTCTTGAATGGCCAAAGTGGGACTAGAGAAAAGGGTTGAAACTACTTCCAATTAGATACTCGATTGAATTAGAAATAGATTAGACATTTGGGATTATAGTGCATGTTTGAATAAATAGGTATCTTCAAGTTAGTATTTTGATCTTCGATTTACATTGAATAGTGGGTAGAATTTAAAGGGATTTTTAAATAGTAAGAGAAGTCTATTTTTATTGTATTGAGGTTTGGTGTACTTACCAAAGTTTTTGGCGAACAAATGAAGGAAACTAAGTCATTTGGTATGAAATATCAAGGATTGTGTAGCTTAGTTTGTAATTAATTAGCGTTATAATTGCCAGCCGCCTTAACCAACCTGATTGTACGGAGCAGGCTGTTACTGCCGTTACTAGAGCTGCCTTATGTTCGATAACTATACCTTTACAATATTTTTTTTAACTCTGTGTAATGTATTTGTTATTTGTAAGTAGACTTATAGTGTGATATCATGAGATAAATTGCATATTTATTTTATTTCAAGCGGGCCACTTGCGTATCAGAAAAAATACAGCGTTTATTTTAGCGAATTTTAAGTAAAATAATATTGATAGTATCCTATTGATTGCATGTTGTGACTAGACGACCTTTTTTTTTTTTTTTTTGTCAGGGGAAAATCATCCAATGACTTCTCCCGCCCAGGGTAAGGCGAGAGAGAGTGTCAGACTCTTACTGACTAAAAACCCCCCCGTTCCTTCTCCTGCTCTGGGCCGAGGTCGCGGTGCCTCATTGCGCTTACCCCGCAGCCCCGGCTAAACATCAGCCCTTTAGGGCCCCGACTGTGGTGGTCTATTGGCTCTTTGAGGCGCGCGCGGAACGCTACGCGCCGTACGCTCGGGTCCAGTTCTGGTCGGGCGGCGAGCTACCCTTACTCGCCGTCCGCAGACCCGCTCTTACGGTGGCCGGAGATCATCCCTCGATCCCCGACGTCCGGAATGTCGCCTTCTGCGGCGGCTGGGGCGCGAGGAGGATAGTTCCCTCACGCGCTCCGCCTCCTCCTTTGCGAGCATTACTGCTTCGCAGAAGGAGGAGATAGCTTCCCAGTTCCTCTCACGCTGCACCATGGCCTCGATTAAGGCCGGGCGCGAGAGGTCGCTGCCGCCGATCACTTCCCTGAGAACACGGCGGTGCTCAGCCCAAGCAGGGCACTCCGCCACCGTATGCTCCACCGTGTCCTCCAGGTGATCCTCACAATGACGACACTCGGGCGTTTCCTCCCGCTGGATCCGAAACAGGAACCTACCAAAGCTGCCGTGCCCGGTAAGCACCTGCGTCAGGCGGAAGGTGAGGACGCCGTGGCGTCTCTCAAGCCACTCCTCAAAGAGGGGTCTTACCGCTGCTATAGTAGCGTGCCCGGCCCTCGGTTGCGACAGTCGCTGCTTCCACTCAGCCATGAGATCTCGCCGGAGCTCATTCCGCCACGCACTAATTTGGCGCGGCAGAGGATCCTCGCCCCGGCGACGCGCGTCTGCGCGCAAACTGTAGACGCGCGCGAGCGCCTTCGCTTCCAGATCCCATGGCGGTGATCCGGCAAGGAGGTTCGCCGCCTCCCCGGAGATTGTGCGATATCCGCGGATTATTCGGATAGCCATGACCCTCTGGGACGCGGCCAGCGTACGAGCCGGCCGCCGCTTCAAATCCGGCGCCCACACAGGGGCACCGTAGAGGGCCATGGATCGCACAATCCCCATGTACAACCTCCGGCAGGAGGCGTTTGGCCCCCCGAGGTTGGGAAGGAGCCGCTTGAGCGCGGCCCCAGACCGTTCCAACTTAGGAGCCAAACGACGAAAATGCTCCGTGAAATTCCATCGGCTGTCGAGGACGAGACCCAGGTACTTCATCGCCGACTCGACGCCGATGGTAACTCCTCCTGCCATTATTTGGGACCCATCTGGAGGTGGCGCGTTCCGACGGCCATAAAAACACATGGCCTCGGATTTGTGAAGCGCCACCTCGAGTCCCAACTGCCGGATCCTTGCAACGACTGTCGCGACCGCTTGCGACATCAGGTCGGCCGCCGCCTGATGTGACCTCCCATTCGCCAGCACCAGCGTGTCGTCAGCATAACAAACAATGTTGACGCCGCTCGGGAGGTCGGTGCGTAGCACCCAATCGTACCCGATGTTCCACAGGAGAGGTCCCAGGACCGATCCCTGTGGAACACCGCGCGACACCTCTGTGACTAGACGACCTAGGGACCTGTAGTGGCCTAAGTTATTGTCATATATTTTGTGCCATTAGTACTAAGTAGAATATGTGATTGCGTTATTTATACGTGTCTGGAATTACCAAAGTATTTTTTAATAATCCTTAGTGCAATATAGTAGTCGTGGTGGCCCGGAGGTTAAGGAGCCCGCTTCTCATGCATGAGGGTGTGGGTTCGAAACCTGGCGAGTACCAATGTGACTTTTTCCGAGTTATATGTACTTTCTATCATTATTAAGACACCACTGACATATGGTGAAGGTAAACATCGTGAGGAAACCTGGACTTATAATTTCTAATTATAAGTTTGAAATCGCCAACTCGCATTGAGCAAGCGTGGTGATCAATGCTCTTACCTTCTCCGTATGAGAAGAGGCCTTTGCTCAGCAGTGGGCACTTATAGGCTGATGATGATAATGATGATGAGTGCAATATAGCTTATTAATATTATGCTTATTACATAAAAGCTTGGATTCAAATAATCACCTAACATCGAGTAAAATGTTCTAAAATGTATAATGTAGCTTTAATTCACATAGATTTTTGAGGTTTCGATACATTCATTCGATGTATTCAAATACTTCGTAGGAGTACCTAAATCAGTAACTAGTAGGATATTTAAGTATTTTATTACAATTAAAATCTGTTAATACTATGTTTTTTTTAATGTTATTACAATTTTAATGTTTGGTACATATTTATTTATAAGTAATGAAATAAATCTATTTAGAGAGTAAACTGTTTGTATATTTCAATCTACCTAATTACCAGCAGAACTGAGAGCCGTTTTTATAATGCGACTGGGTGGGACTGTATCCTCAACAATAGCAAAGTAGGTAGTATACATATCTATAGCTTTGCAAAATATAGCATAACAAAAATATCAGATTTAGTAAAAAGATTATTTGAATGTACTTTTTTGTAAGAGAGAAATCATCAAATGACTTCTATCGACCAGGGTGAGGCGAGAGGGAGTGTCACATTTTTACTGACGGTACCTTATTGCCATTGACGGATTAACCCTTTATCAAATTAAGCAATTGGGTAGTTTCCTAGGTCAAAAATAAACTAATTGACGTTTCAATACAATAAAATATCGAAAAATAACTATACTCTTATTCATCGATACATCGATACATAAAATTTTAGATATTTTTTAGCTAATTGTTAAGAAATAAGTAGGTAAGCTATTTGACGCAAAAAACTATGACGTCATAGCTCAGTGTTTCATACAAATTTCATAGACGAGTATCGTTTTTGACGTTTGGATAAAAGTATTGAATTTGACTAGTTGGAAACTACCGTATTGCCTAGGGTATCACGTCTATGAGGCAAAAAGTCCGTCCGAAAAATAAATTATGCTTTGGTTTTTATTGTTCTCGTCATCTTATTTTACAAAAAAACTAAACTACTGTTTTTAGGCAGTAAAGGTTTGAAGACCGATTCTAGTTGATATATGGATAGGGGGGCCCATATAGGCGTGGATTGCTTAGGGCATAAAGTACCTAGTCTTAATTCGTCACTGCTTATTGCACTTGCTCTGCAACCCCGACAGATTTGAACCCATATCTAGGTATATTACATTAATATGAGGAATTAGGAGACGAGAAGTTTGCGCAGTCACTATCACAGTCAACCATTTGCATGTCAGTTACCTACACTGGATATCCACATCGGTCTTATGGTTCCAAGTTAGATCGCCGAAAGGAGGTCTCTAGTTTCCGATTTAGAACTTCTTAGCTAGCTCGGGGCCAAATTTTTTAGTGTCATTCAGTTGATTTCTGCTTTTTGCACTGAACCCATAAATATCATTTGCAAATATCTATGACAATATGTTGGGTAGTCAAACGTTGCCTCGTTGGTTCGTTAGCGCCAGCTCTTTTACCGAGCAAGATGTGTTGAGCTTGATTTCCAGGATGGGCATAGACCTTAATATCGCCTATTTTCGCGGAACTCTGGACCTTTGCCCTCATTATTGTTTCAGAATCGACCAAAGTTCGATAGTATAACTACTTTTATAATCACTACTACTTTTATAAACAGACAAGTTTGAGCTTTACCTATCCATCTGTAGATTAAAAATAAATAATATACTTAATTAAAATTTTAACATTTCAAAGTGTATAAATACTTACTCCGGAGTACCTAATATCTCGGCCTCAGAAACTGGCGTGAGAGAGCTTGCATTGTGCTTTCCAGACTATTTGAAGGCCCAAATCCCCCAATCATCAAATTCTTAATCCCTTAAAAGTCGGCAACGCGCTTGCAACTATGTTGTTGTTACAGTACCTACATAGTTGTAGGTATTTCATATTGCAGGCAAGAAAAAAGCATCACGGATATTGTAAATGTGTCTATAGTGGAAATAATGCCCTTAAACAATCAATTAACAAGACCAAAGAACTAAATAAATAAATATTTCCAAAAGAAAGATAATATGTACCTAGGTAGTTCATAAATCACAACATCGTAAAAGTTGCTTTGAACCGTACATTGGGAGATGTCGTCTATCGATCACAGTTCCAGGAACTATTCGTTGTATACATAGTGTACAGTATCTATATTCCCGTAGGTACTCTAGCAGTGCAGCATTGATTGATGCTCTGCACAATGCCCGAGAGAACACGAGCGCATCCGCGCCGGACAGACACGCGCGTTGAAAATCAATTACAAGCAATTATTGGGTAAGCAAGCTCACCTATAGCGGACGGGAAGGGTAGGAGCGAAAGGTCGTACATCCCTGTATATGTAGTCGTGTCCCGACTCCCGGCGCCAAGCGCCAACTCAGTCGGCTCTCGCAGGGCGGGAATACAGGGCGGCCGCTTGTCGCGCTCCGTGCGATTGCGCTCGACGAATTCGCGAAATGGAATTACTGTAGGTGTTATTAATTATTGCAGTTTCATACGGATTTAATTAACATCATCGTATTTATAACGTCCCCCACTAATTAGCTTATTACCAAAAAAGGTTCCGGTTCGCGATTTTTAGCTCTCTTTGTTTAGTTATGACAAAAGATCTATAGTAAAATATATTTTCCGTGTATGAATGTTCAATTTGGGAATCGATTGCTTGCACTTTTGTCCGGAGCTCAGGTGCACATGCGTGGAATTTTTGTTTTATTTCTTTTCAACATCCTCAGTTTTACTATTTCTATTTATGCGTTAACGTAGTTCAACTTTGTAGCAAAGTGCATAGGTACATTTATTTCTGCCGGTAAATTCGGCAAATAAATTATTACGATTCTTATAGATGTTGTTACAAATCGAAAGTAATAAAGTGTATTTGTTACATATTGTTATCAACTAATATACCTACCTAGGATCCAGTGTACTATAGTTGAAATCAAGTTATTTAATTGAATACAACAATTGAGCTTTGGTACTAATATCATCATCACTAATAGTATCTATAAAACAAAGTCACTTTCTCTGACTCTATATCCTTATGTATGCTTAAATCTTTAAAACTACACAACATATGTTTTTCTAAATAGATTTTTTAAATAGATATAGTGATTGAAGAGGAAGTTTTATACATATAACAACACCTTTTAAATAGTGGAAGAAAATTGTATCAGCTTTGCAACCGTGCGAAGGCAGGGTGGGTCGAATATACGGAATATCTTACAACGGCCCTGTCTGTTAATCATTCCTGTGTTTCATTCTAACGAGGTACCTTATTCATATTTGATTCGCCTCTCGTTCTGCATTGATTTATTAGGAGATGTCTTTGTTGCTCACAAAAGGCGGGAAGTCTCCTTAATAGGCGTAACCAGTTATTCAGCATCCTGTTCGTCTATAAAATGCAACGGGACGGCGATAGTGATAGAAACACATCTATTTCTACTGGGTACACGGAGGTACAGATTTACTGGTCTCCCCCAACCCTACAATTTCAACTCCTCTCAATGAAAGTAAAATTCTTTTAAAGTTTCATGTTCTCACTTTCTCAGAACGTTTATAGGCAGCCGGGGGTGTAGTAAGTAGTAAATAGGTGCTAAACAACAAAAACATGCTTAGTTTTGAGTTGAGATTTCTTTTCTGCGGTTATGATCGAAATGTTGATGTCGTTATTATTCAATTGAAATTTGAAACACGCATTAATAAGACGATTCGACAGTCGAATCACGATCTTTTAAATAGGTTTAATTAATTTTCGCCTTTAGAGTAAAAGCTTATTGACACGAGGCAATAGTTTAGTTTCAAAATAAAAGTTACTACCTACCTAAATTTTAGCTTTTTTTGAGGGGATAACGTCATTTAAGACTCTTACTGACTAATATCACCACGTTCCTTTTCCTGCTCCAAGCCGCGCCGTGGTACATTAGGTATTGCTCTTGCACTCCACCCTCGTCTGGACCCGATGTTAGACAGATAGGGCTCCCATCTGTACCTACTACTCTGTGGCGAAAAGCAAGGACGCCGTGGTGCCTCTCTAGCCCCGTCTTGAATAGGGGTTTTACCTAATTGCAATGTACCTATGCTTCATGAAGCCGTCAACTTTTTTATTAATGTTATAGATACCTACTTAAATCTATAAGACAAGCTTATAGTTTATATTTCTTTAAAATATTTGTATCCAAATGGAATAAAGCGGAGCTTAGGAACTATGCTGATAAAAATCGTATCAGAGCTATTACGAAGGTCTTGTTTGTGTGCTAGTGGTTTGGTGATGCTCGTAGCCTGCGCGTCGGCTGCTGTGCCGGCAGCTGTGCCGACGCCGGCGCCGGCAACTAAGTGTGAACGGGCGCCCGCACACGCTTCACCCTCGGATGAGCACTACCGCATTAGTGTTTCTGGCGAACCTGATTTATTCTTACCTGGAGAACTGTACACAGGTATTTTTAAAAACCATTTGTTACTACTATTCGGCATACTGACCATTTTAGTTAGAAGATAATAATTCAAATATTAGGATGATCAAACGCCTTGCCATTATTTCTAGTGTCGCTGCAAGGCATAGATAGTGGACAAGGACCCACCCCATTCATAGGATTTACGATATGGGTCGAGGTAAAATCTGACCAGCCCAAAATTGATGAGGGCACGAACCAATCTAATGAGACTAAGGCTGCTAACCTGACGCTGGGTACGTTCCAAGCGTATGATGCTCAGGCGAAGATTATGGAAGTCTGTTCCCCGTCCGTTGATAACGCTACTGCACATCCCAAGACTGAAGTACAGGTTAGTGTATATACATAGGTCCCCGTTCTAATGCTTCAAAGTTTAGGTCGTGATTGGTCAACAATGGAAATGGTTCCTATGTAGCAACAACTGTTTAGGAGCTGTGTAATATATTATTGTAATTAACAAAATTAATGGAGAATCCATAGGCTAGCTAGGTACTGCTACTTAAAAATACTTCTCCTTTTTATTTGTTTTGATTAAATGGCTTCCATATTATGGCAGGTAATTTGGAATGCACCATCTGGCATGGGCATAGGTACGCCAGAAATGTGCGTGAGAGTGTGCGCACGTGTGGGTCCCTACCCTGGAGTAGGTGCTGGCGGTGGTGGCTGGTCCATTCTAGCGAGGGAACTGTGCTCAGCCCCCGCAGCGCCTCATTATTCAGCCAAATTACCGCCTATTATAGAACCATGTTGTGCCTGTGATGAAGCCAAGTATGAAGTAAGTTCATATATAAGTTTTCAAATAATAAATTAATTTACCAATCATTTTTATTAATAGATAAATATATATAAAATATGTATTTCCTATGTCGTAACATTGCGTGTTCCAAAAAGGTTCCTTGTTGAAGATTAAAGTGTTGGACAGGTAACGTTCGAATGCCTATGGTCTCGTAACACGCATCCCCGCGAGTTTCCGCCAGAAAGTGCACACGCACATTTTGGTGATGTGATCGGCGCATCACACACCGCGCAGTTCCGAGTGTGGCAGGAGGGCCGCGTGGCTAGCCCCGGTGTGCGGCGACTGGCTGATGATGGCACTACTGTAGCTCTAGAGAAGGAATTGAAGGCTGAGGTTAGTAGGTTACAGAATTTAATACTCCTAACACTCACCATACCGCGCAGACTAAATCAATTATTTTCCTACAGAGCGACCACATCAGGACAATAATCAAAGCTCGTGGTATATCGTGGCAGCAAGTTGGCGGGGCTGGGATCCCTAACACGTTTGCAGTGTTCCGAGTTGACGCGAAGCATCACTTGATGTCACTCGCCGCTAAGTTAGCACCCTCTCCCGATTGGATAGTGGGAGTTTCTGCTCTCGAATTGTGTAATGCTAATTGCACGTGGAGTAGATCTGCCACTATACCCTTGTACCCTTATGATGCTGGAACTGATAATGGTGTAACTTATACGGTAAGAACAGATTTATAAAGTAATTCACTTTGTGACAGTTTCATTAAATATAATTTGTAGATATTTTTAATTTATTTCATTTGTTATTTTCGTTGTCAGTCTCATCGCAATCCTACGATCCCGGCAACACCAGTTCGTGCTTTAAGGCCTGATTGGCCTCGCGATGCTAGATCTCCTTTCTACAGCACCAACGGTGAAATGAGACCCTTTGCAAGACTGAGGTTGACACGACTACGACTTTACGAAAAGAGTTGTGATGGAACCGGTAACGTATACAACTATGTATATTGTACTTACAGCTATTAATGTAATGTTTGAGGTGGGGGCTTGTGTTGAAAAGTCAAAGTTAAAATAAATTTATTTAAAAAGGAGAGCCAGATCGGGTGTCGGAGCATCAAGTAGGCCAGGGTACGGCAGCAAGCGGGGGCGCGTGTGCGGTGCATGCATGGGGACAATGGGGCCCCTGCAGTGTATCATGCGGACCTGGCCGTGCCACCCGCCAGAGGGACTACATATGGCCCACTCGCGCGTATGCCGAGGCCTGTCGAGTGCCGCTTACTGACTACCGTAGGTGTCATGGACCAAGAATGCATTGCAGGTATGTACCCACACATGAGGACATTTTTCATTATTATATTTTCTACTTGCGTTTCCTTATATCAGAAATCATTACAGTAGAAATATATTAATTAATATTAATTGTTTAATTGCTCCATTATTATTGTCATCTAACTACGTACAACGTAGTTTCAAACCATGCTTTATTGAAACGTTGATATTTGTGTATGAAACTTTTTTACCCATTATTTTTTTATAAATATCCTATGATACTCTAATTATTCTGCCTTTTCCCGATGATTGGTCAAGTGATTTTTACGTAAAATTACGTAACAAGCATTTTAGATTTACAAAACTAGTCAGGATAGATGTAACGCATTGACTGCTTACTGTCAACACATTATCCATTGTAACCGATCTTGTTTCGCTGTAGGGCACCATCGGAATACGAGCCTGACCCGGCAGAGTCGACGGGTCCATGCGCTGTATCTAACTGGTCGGAGTGGTCGCCATGCGAGGGTTGTGGAGTGCGTGCGCGCGTGCGTCACTATGTAGCGCCTCGGGCCTATAAGCGTTGCCATATTGGATACCGCGCACGGACCATTATGAGCCAAGCCATGCCCTGCGAAATGGGACCCTGTCAGAAGTAAGCCTGCTTTTGTAGAGATACTATGGCTTCCTAAATCTTAAACTTATTCTTATGAAAAGAGAAATGGTTAGCTAGATCAATATGAAGTTAATTAAGTGATTTTTATTTCAGGCCTCCTCCGAAATCGAACATAAGCGCATTTGATTGGTTCTTTGTGGTACGATTTTTCATATTTTATTCCTTCGTAGAGTTCTTCTTACGCAGTTCGATCATAGACAGCTTTTTTTCAATAATTTACTGAATTCGTGCTTTGTTTGTAAGTTTGTAATGACTTAGGACACTCCCCGCGGAGACTGTCACGTGTCGCCGTGGGGTAGCTGGTCTCCGTGCTCGGCCAAGTGTGGGCGGGGACGCCGGCTGCGCACGCGCCTGTACGTAGTGCACAACTCCACGGTGCAGGCGGCCATGACACGCCGTCTTTTTGAAATGTGGAGCAAACGGTTCATGGAGCTGCAGTCTTTGGTAAGTCACGTGTTTCTGGATACGAACTTGGTTTAACAGACAGGAAAGTAATACGCTTCACTTGCTCGATATTTGTTGGCCCAGATGTTTCCTAAGGGATTTTATTGTAACTATAATATGGGAGGTTGAGTAGATTCAGACAGGAGATGCTTACGAATTTTGGTTTAACATAATTTATTGTATCATCTTTATAATTTAATGTGCTGAGCGCATTATTAATATTTCTAACGTAGCCGTACACATCACACGAGAATTTGACGGCTGAAGATCCAGCGGTCGAGAGTAAGGTGCAGGAGTTCATTGACCGCTGCCAGTTCACTCTCACACAGCAAGAAGCACTCTGCGATGGAGATGATATCAGCTGCCTGAATAACACTGTTCCCCTTGGTAACGTTTTTTTATGGCTTATGCCAGCGGCTTTGCCCGCCTTACCCGGGTGAAAAATTGCTTTATAATGTATACTTGTACCGATTTCATTAATATGCATTCAATACTTTTTTACATGAAAGAGTAACAAACATTCATCTGTTTACTTACAAAATTTCGCGTTTATAATATTATTAGGATTACACGTAATATAGAGATCTCACGAATAAATATCTCTTTTCATATATTGTCACAGTCCATATCAAAATTTCATAACAAATTCAAAAATGTCCAACAGAAGTCTGCAAGCAACCGCTATCAGTTGGCCACTGCCGCGGTTACGAAGAACGTTGGTTCTACGAGTGGGCCAAGAAGACTTGTGAACCATTTGGGTTCAGTGGGTGCGGGGGCAATGGAAATAACTTCCGCACTCGAGATCATTGCCTACGGGCCTGCGTGACTAGGGTCAACATTACTGAGGTGAATGGTGAGTGATCATTGGTTTGAAGAACTAGCAGCCCTAACAGCCCCTGCTTAGCACGAATTTCCAACTACCTCCGTGTTGGCTTATTTTATTGATTAGCTTAATTAGTCTTGTTGGCGAACCGCTACAGTACCGAAAAGATTGCTATTTCTTTATGTCGAGGTATTTTATTTCGTATGGTCGGCAAACGAGTCGACGCTTTACCTGATGGTAAGCAACCAGCGCCGCTCATAAACAGCTGTAACAATAGAGTAGTGACGTGTGTAGCCGACCTTTAGGGGATAAGGTTTTGGAGGTTTAGGGATTGGGGTAGGGGAAGGAATCCGATAACCTCACTCCCAAACGCTTTGGTTGTTTTATACCGTTTTTCTGTGAAGCCGTGTACTTTCCGGGCCACTCGCAGCTGGCATTATTTTAGATTTTACTCTCTACTTTTCCAAAATATTTTTATATTTAAGCTGAATCTTTCATGAAGTCGAATGGTGATTCTTAATGTACTTGCCCAGTGACTACCGTCGCTAACGATTCTGCGACAACCTTGAAGAAGCTGAAGCCGACGCCTCCACATGTGGATAATGAAGTCATTCAGAACGACGGCCCACCACTTTATGGCAAGTAATTATTTATTTCAACTGAAAGTGTGTATATTTGGCCCTTGCCATTACAATACCAAGAAGGTTTTTATTATTATCAGTTATATTTTTAATATCTAATAATGTACCTCCTTTGTATATCAGCAATGCCAGCGAATTCGTTCACGTAGACAGTATTATTGATTGCTTGCTATTTGTTTCACTTTTCAACTTCACGTAACAAGACAAAACTGTTTAAAAATTCTAATGGGCCATATTGGTGCAGTCATTCTCGAGTTTTGGCTAGACGAACGAATGAAATTTTTTTTTACTAATGTAGGTATGGTGATATGTTACCCTGCGTTGCGCTTTGTCTTGAATGTAAATATTTCAACAATATAAAAGCACATCAGTCGTGGTGGCCCACAGGTTGAAGCACCCGCTTCTCATGCATGAGGTCGCGGGTTCGAAACCTGGCGAGCACCAATGTGACTTTTCCAATATGTACTTTCTATGATCAATTAAACACCATTGACAAAAGGTTAAGGAAAACATCGTGAGGAAACCTGGACTTATGAATACTAAGTATAACGCCTTGAGCAAGCGTGGTGATTAATGCTCAAACCTTCTCCTTGTGGAAAGAGGTCTTTGCTCAGTAGTGGGCACATACATATGGGCTGATGATGTGAAAAGCATATCGATTTGGTACTTACATAAGTTGCTCTATATTGTATTGTTAAAATAAAAAACGGGGCTAGACATGTCAGTGGCTTATGTAATAATTGCATGCACGAATACAATAAACCGAAGAGTCATGCAAGTTGTATGGCATGCGATATAACAGCATGAAGCATGCACTCTATTTATTTTCTTTATTGTACCAAAAACTAGTCAAAAATATATGTAGGTACTTGATGGAAACATTTACATTACCGTTCTAGGCATGAGTACTAAGCTTTTCATTTGTTCTAAATAAAAAAAAAATATTCGTTTACGAATAGGTTCGCAATTTAAATTAAATTGGGAAAAATTAAAGTATATTTTTATTTATTATTAATGGAATTACTAACAAAATATATTTCCTTGGTATATAAAATGAATGTATTTATCTAAGTCTGAACCTGCACTTTTATGCGTAAATGTGTGGAAAAACTATTTATTTTTGACCTACTAAACTTTCCAATCTAAACGTATTTTTATATATATTTCATCTAAATTATTCGTACATAAGATTTAAACTCCCTGTTCCACTGACCAAGAACCCAGGCTCGCCAGACATTAATTATTCTGAATGGTAATAATATCACTTGACTCGGTAATGCTACTCATAAATACCTATGAGTCCCCAGCGCGGCTTGAAATTAGACGAGTTGCCTCGTCAACTAAGGAATATAAATGAAAAAGAATTTAATAAGTCTCTTCACTCGGCGGTGACTTCTGCCACTACTATTACCATTGATGTATGCGATATGGTATTATTTGTTCTTTGAATAATAGTTCTATCAAGTTTAGTATCATAATTCTCTATAGAACCAATTATAACTTGATCCTAAATTTACTTATTATCATATCAATTGGCGCCACCCTATACTGGATTGGACACTCGAAACACTAGATAGAGGAGTTACGAGTGCGTTGCCGGCCTTTTGGGGATAAGAGTTTCAGAGATTTGAGATTATTTAGAGATTGGGGAGGGGTTCGTTAAGGAAAAGAAGGTTTAGGTCACGGTAACCTCACTCACTCGACGAAACATAACGTTGAGGTTGTTTCGCGCCGGTTATCTGTTGGGCCGTAGTATCATTCTGGTCGAGCCGACTCATTCGTGCCGAAGCATGACTCTCTCACACTTAAAAAAAGCTATCTGCATGAAGAACTATTGTTAATTATAAAATTTTTCAGGGGTGTCTTTATCTTACAGTGCAGAGTCTACATCACAAAATCTCTAAACTCTCGCGTAGGGAAATGTTTGTTTTTAATATATTTTACTGAAAAAATGCATTGTGGCGCTATAAGGACTAGGGACGCCCCTGACTATTTGTTGATGTTCGTAGTTGTTTAGCGAATAAATGTTATTGATAAGCAGTAGAGGCGGTTACCTGCGAGACGGGACCCTGGTTGGGGTGGAGCGAATGCATCGGGGATTGCGACTTCGCTATCAAACTTAATTATAGACTGGTTGTGGTAAGTTAATACATTGATGGTTCTTTTTCCTTTGCTTATAGATAATTCTGCGACTTTTACAGTGACATGTTGACGTCCATCATCGAACTAAAATACCAAATTAATATTTTTTCACGTTCATTGAAAATGGAGTATGCTAGCTTTCTAAAATCTCTGCAGCTAGATTTAATGTTTCTCTTATTTTGGGAATGATCAGTAGATTTTTGTAATCTTACTTTAGGATCTTTCGTTTCATCGCCTGAAAAACTTTATAAGTGTAGCATAATAGTAGGATAGACGACGTAGGATCCTTTTTACAAGTCTTTGAGATGTCGTAGAATTTATTCGTTTCGGCTATGTTGATGGTGTCTGCTTTATTTCTATCTTTTATCGATATTAAATATTCACAAAATATCACTAGTAGCAACCGATAGGTATCTACTGTAGATCCTGGCTAACAGGAATTACATCTATTTTGGGATGACGTGAGCGAACATTATTTTATGTTCAAGTTTATAGCTGTTGAAAAAATCCGATAACAAGCGAGTCATTATTGTTGCTTTATTTTCAATTATTCGTATCATTAGGCTCGTTTTATTCGCACATCAACATTAATATAATGAAATGAGATTGCGATCAGTTATTCCCTTATAATACCTACAATTTTGACATCAGTAATTGGGATAACAAAAGGAATGGAAACTACCACGCGTACAACCTGGGGGTTTTGGCAATTGGGTGTCTGTTTTCGCTTAGGGAGTTGTATATCTTATTAAATAAGAAGTATTTCACAGTTTTAAATAACATGTCGTTTTTGTGTGTCTCAACAGCGCCCTGGAAGAGGCTGTCGTCGTCTAATGAAAAGCCGCTCGTGTCGTCCAACGCACTGCCAAAAGGTTATTTCAAACAATTCGGTTGAAAATACCGAAAATATTAATTACGATGACGATTAGAAAAAACATGTTTAGTATAAAATATTTCATTCAATACTTGGTAGTAACTACGTATATATATAATGCGTAATATTTGTCCCTAATATCCTTATAATACAAACAATGTTACAATGTTAGTCGATTCAGGTTCAGTAACACATGTAATCACAATAAATGTGTAGGTAGAATATAATAAATATTTACGAAATACTTTTAATAAAATGTCTTGTTGTTGGAACAAATATTCTTTTATTTCATTGTTACTCATATGAAGTAAATATCATTTGTTGTACATAAGAATAGTTATAATTAGTTATAATTATACATAAATAATTGTGTACTAAAGGGCTATTTACTTATTATTCACTCGGTGACGTTACGCTACGCTCCTTAGTTTGTAAATATTTTCCTTTGTTGTCATTTTTCCTAACATTGCTACACGTACCTACCTTCCATTCTCTTTAAAACGCAAGTGTTCAATAAATACATAAGTAAGTATAATATCGGCTACATGTTTTCAGTGCAAACCTGGACATAATGTTTTTGAAAAGCACAGGACAAACATATTTTTTTTGTTTTTTTTTGTGTGGTCATTTATTTACTACACCTGCCCAGGGTGGGGTAAGAGGGTGTGTCAGATTCTTACTGACTAAAAACGCCCCCGTTTCTTCTCCTGCTCTAGGCCGATGCCGCGGAGCTTCTTGTGCGTGTCCCGCAACCCCGGCTGAACAACAGCCTTAGATGTGGTGATCTATTGGCGCATTGAGGAGCGCGCGGAACGGAACGCCGTACGCTCGGTCTGGGGACGGAGCGGAGCTATCCTTACTCGTCGTCCACAGACCCGCGCTTACCCGTGAAGAGAACTCACTACAAATAGGACCCACTAGGACTAATGTCCGGTCTTGGTTGCTGGTGTGCTCAAGGAACAATGTAGGTACCGCGGCTCGGAACGGGGTGGTTTTGAGTTAGTAAGGGCGTGACACTCCATTTCGCTAGGGCAAAATAAGTACATATTTTGATGGTTCTCCCTCAAAACAAGCCGTTGGTTAAGGTACGCAAATGTTCTTTACTATTGGATTGAAATATTGAATAGGTATCTATACTTTACATTATAAAGCTGTAAAGTTTGTTTGTTTCCACGCCCTTACCTCCGGGTCTGCTGGTTCGAATTAAACAATTATTTTTGCGTCCACGTTGCGATCTATAGGAGCTGATCAACGGGTGAAACTGCGTGAGAGTAGCTATTTAAGTATATTTTTTTTACAATTTAACGATGCTCTATTGAATTGTGGCTCATATCTAGTATAGTAAACTCACCTAATTGTGTGACTCACTTAATTCGGAGATTCCACGTTTGGACTCTTTCACAGCGTTATAGGAGAAAAATCCAATACATAAAAATTAACCCTATGGTATGGTAATAAATCTTCTTTTCGTGTACAAATTTTTGTAAAGATCGTGCGCGTGATATAATAACAATCACGGAATTTGTCATTGCGCCCGCCATGTTTGACGTTTCACCGGTAGCGTGCGACTGTGCTGTCATTATTTAATTAATTTTAAATAGAAAAGGTGAGTGTAAGTTCATGATACTTTGACAATTAGTTGTTAAAAACATATACTTGTTGATACCGATAAAGGTTTTAGTAATTTTTCATTTGTTTTTTCATAATACCTTATTTCCTGGGTTCAAAAAGTTAACGATTCTCAAGATTGCAACTCAAAACAGTGTCACCGAATTAACCAAGCAAACTTTTATTATTTTCAAATTCGTGTATTAATAATGGTTTTCAGTACGTGTACGTTAGTAGTTTAAGTCAGAAAATATTTATTTTTACTCAGGTAAAAAAAGTAAAAAAAAGTAGGATCGCTTTCAACCATTTTAAAAAAAGTCCGTTATTTTTTTATCGCATAATTAAGTGAGTTGTTTTTTTATTTACTATGCTTTATTCACAAGATGTAAAGTTACAAAATGGGGCCGACTGGATAACATGCTCGTTCTGTACTAATCCTTATCATACCCATTGCCAAAGTCAAATTATAAATGACAACCAAGAAATTTTTGTGTGTGATGGTTGTAGTATTGACGAGTCCAGTGGTGAAGAGTAAAAAACAATTATAAAGTCCAATATTGCTTTTTATTTTTCTCCACTTCTGATAGTTTCTCGTTGATTAATAAATACATAATTATTACTTTCAAAATGTTTATATTTTTTATTAATTTTATTTTTTGTTACTTTTATGTTAAAAAAATCGGTTATAACAGAATTAGAGAAGTACTATCACCGAATTATGGTGTTTGTCACAGAATTAAACAAGTCATCGCGGTTTGATTAAGCTCATTTTACGCTGAGTTAATTCATATATATTAAGATTACACTTGCTCATATGATAAATAGAAGACTGATTAATGTTCCTATTAAAAATAAAAATAAAATTTATAAAGTTTAACCTGTTTTTTTTCCACATTCTGTTTTGTCACAGAATTAGATGAGTTGACCCTAGGTGCCACCATTGTTTTAGAAGAAAATCCAAGTCATCGAGTAGTTCATAATATAACTAGAAGTTATGTATACATTTTCTTCATCTACAGGTACCTAAAGGTTAGTTTCATTTTATGACGGGATTCATGCTTCTGAGAACGGGATCGAATTCGAATCTCCTCACCGATGTATATTATGTATGGATACAATATTTAGTAGCAATTACTGTTTGTGCTATGTATTGAACATGTGATCTGCTTAAAAGCTTGAAATCACTTAAAACTAAAAAAAAATATAATAAGTAAAAGAAATATTAAATAATATAATTTTTATTTGTTTCCAAATCAATAGTCAACAAAAACTTTGTACACAAAACGCTTACAAACTAGGCCCTTATTATTTGTTAACATCATTATCTATGGGCGATAATAGTTCAACTAAAAATAATTACTATCTATAATTCACTTAACTAGCTTTCCCTAAATTAATACTGTAAAGGAACATCACAGTCGCTTTGTACGCCATCTATGTCTCATTAGAAGTTAGATATGTAAAAGTTTTTGATTGTTTTCAAGGAACAAAATGGACTTGCATGATGTTGTTTGTTTATTATTTTTTTATTGGCCTGAATGTCATAAGATAGGGATATGGATTGACGTTATAATATTATACGTAATAACAAGATTAAATTGTTAATACGTTGTATGCGAACTGATAGGTGTTTGGATACAGTTTTCTCCTTAACATAAGACTCCGTTGCATTACAATTTCACCGCTAACAACGGATTTTTGCGTCATCGTAAATAATATACAATACCTTTTTTTGACAACAATAACTCGTCATTAGAGTGTATTATGATGGCGGTGTAGTTGGCGGGAACGGGCGCGCGAGTGCACTTGACTGACAATGTGGCTCGGCAGCCATGTTTTTATTCATTACACTTTCACTGTTGTAGGCTGTCTCTGTTATTTACCACGATTAGAAATTTCGCCGCTTACCGCGACACAAGACAAGCTTCTTTGGTTGTATTCTTAAATTATAGATACCTATCTATCTACTTACAGCTTGTTTCATCATATCATATTGAAAACTTAGGTTATTTTATATTGGGTACAATAGTATAGACATATAATATAATAAATCCGAATAATCAATAACTGAACACTGAATTTGGTTTCTTACAATTAAAGAATACATCTTTATTAACTAGGTACAACTACAAAGCTAGGTTATTCGGTACCTTTTGTAACAAAACAGCTATTCCATAATTGTATGATAATTACCGTAGAAAAATAATTTTACGCCCACCAAGGACCATAGACCAACCAATCTGTTTTGACTATTATTATGAACAGTCCCTAAGCGCTACACTTAATATACAAAAGCTAATTGGTTTCACCCAACTTGACTAATAATGAACTTAACTTCTATTGCCTACTATTTACAACGCAGTTATATTAAAATACGGCAAGATTATAGTACATTACGTACGCTTCGTGTACCACTATTTATACGTTTGTCTATCACCTATCTCTTGTGAAATGATCACACCGTGAGGCATCTTTACTTTGGTTTGTATTTCAACTGTGGAAGGCAAGCCCTACCAGTTACAATTCCTTTAAAAATTACGAAACATTTTAGAACATAAGAACGCACAGAATACCTCCTTCTGCCTTCCTAGCTACATAATATGTTCAGTACCTACTCGTCGATAGCTAGGTATTTTGCAATTTGACTTTGGGAAAAGTGTAACAATTTAGGGTGATATTATGATAATTTGTCAGTGCAAAACTTTTTTATAGTTCTAGGAAAATGTTTGATTAGTTCTAGAGGCTCATGATCGTGGTCAGTATATGCGGCGACTTGGCCGATTGTATTTTTCCAAAAGTCGTGCAATTTTTGTTGCAGGGTACTGTAGTATGTTATTTTGTAATTAAATGCGAGTGACGGTGGGCTGGCGAGGTGGTTCGCAGCATCGAGGAGCGGTGCACTCCTTGGCACACGGACACGAACAACCTTGGTTCGCAAAGTCTATTAAAGCCTTCTTCTCTTCATCTGTACCTGCGTAAAAATAAAAAGTATAAAACAAAATCCCGTTGACAAAAGATGAGATCGTTATTCTAATAATAAAAAAGGTTCTAAAACATACTACAGCTCTTCATCTTGTACCAAATCTACTGATAGATTTTCAACCTTGTCGTGAAATTATAAGGTTCAAAATCTATCTTTATGGTACGTGCTCGACAATCGATTTTGATGTGCACTTACCTAGCATAGAGGTGAGCGTGAACTCTGGTTGTAGCGTGACTAGACCGATGCCGTGACGCTTGAATATATCACAAACTAACGCGGAACTCTTCAAGTAATCCTGAAACGTAACATAAGTTGGTTTAGTTAGGTGAAAACTTGTCTAAGCTTTAGAACTTCTAGGCACTTAATAAGCGCTATTTTGAGGTCGTGACTTTGCATACCTGTTATTATGTGTAATCAGACTATTTTCGGCGTTTTAAATCTTATTTATCTACATTTCTAAGTCTACACGGCGTTATTTCAGACAGGCATGTCCGTAAGTTATCAAAGCAATAATGAAGGCAAAACCGGGGCGGAGCTTATACTCGGGGCCGGATGACCAAATCGACCTCCTCTTTAGAGTACCTTTTTTCTAAATACTAGGGCCCTCGCTTGTTAAATCTGTCACTGATTAAGACAATAAGTTATTGTTGTAACCATATAAACAGCGCAGCGTAAAGTCAATATAATTAATTGATTACATTTCTGTGCTAACGATGTCAGGGTAAAATGAGAACCTTAGACAATATTTACACAGTAACTGTCTTTAAACATCATACCTAAAACATAATGTTGGAAATATTAATTGTAATTCACCTCGTGTGAGCTGTACGCAACATGAGCGGTGGCGACGACCTTGTCACGGTGCATTTGCCAGACGTGCAGTTCGTGTATGGCGAGGACCCCAGGGACCCGAAGCGCTGCGGCCCGCAGGTCGCAGGTCCCCAGACCTTCCGGCACTGTCTGCAGCAACACAAGCCCTGCTGACCGCACTGTAGGAGAACAAATTTGCCTAATTAGTTAAGTGAGAAAATTAAAAGAAATACCAGAGAGCCTAATGTGAATTTGCTTTATGTTGACGCGATTGAATTGTTAACGCGTTAAGCTCTCTAAAGAAGAAGAAAAGTTAAACCATACAGGGTTGATCATTTTTCCCCCTCAAAAAGAAGGCACACAGAAGGTGATATCAATCGCCAAGAAGTTGCTTCTTCTTATGTATTATACTTTTAAATTATAACTGATTCTTGTAACCTGTGTACACGCAATACCTATATAACTTACTGTTTTCGATCTCTTTTTTTTTCTAACAACAGACTGTGTGTAATTTAGACAGGACTAGGTACCTAAGTAGGGCATTCTTCATCAGAACATTTATATGTATGTAGTCTCCAATTTTTAAAATATAAATGAAATGCTAATGTATCGGGGAATATGTGTACATTTTAATCTACATAAGTATTTTCAACTTTTCGTCATTTTAATAGCTCATTTATCTATAAAAATATCTAACAATCTATTTGTAGTTGGTAGTTGTAAACTCCGTATCTGATATATTAATATCAGCTACTAGCATTATATTGTTACGATATGATATTATCGTGTTGTTAACCACCGATAGTCGAAACTATTACCATTTATATATCTTATATGTATATATTTTAATATTATACGTACGAACGTACGTTGATAGAGACTATTATGTTTATTATTCTGTCTCTAAGACTTGGATAAATTGATTAGTTACTCGACTATTTATAGGTAAGCGGGTATAAATTTGGTTTACCAAAATAGGTAATTTATCGAATCTTACAAACTTATTTAGTGTGGTGATGAAATACTAAACAAATTTCTTGACAGTAACAATTGGAGAATGAGATCACCCTTATGAAATAATGGAAACATCGGCCATTAGTCCCCACGGTAAGCCACGGTTACAGAGCATTTGCGTAATCCTAGGTGGCTTGCGTCGTATCGTCGAGTATCTGATTGTTTCCACTTCAGTTGCGACTAATAGACGATATTTGACTATGAGCAATGACTTACACCGCTGCCCATAACCACTTCCCTTATAATTAGACAAAACTCATACATTTCATAAATATACACGTGACGCACAAACGGACAAACAATAAGTAATTATAATAATTTTTCCACGCATTATTGTTATCTTATCAATAGTGGTAAAAAGCCGATATATGAACGGGCAAATACATAGGTCGTCATATACATGTAAATAATAATGGCAACAATAAAAAAAATATATTCTGATATTCGTCTGGACTATTTTATTTAGAGGAACTAATCAATTGTTTAGTTAAGCAATTGGAGATAGCATTTAATTTGTCGTATTTTGTTTTATAACCAGTATGATTAAAATATGTAAGAAAAAGGTATGGTGCCTTTAATGACTTTGACATTTAAAAAAAAGACCGAAATGAAAGAGCCTTGCCTACTATCATTAGGACCAATAAAAATAAAATTAGTGGCCATATGGTATTAACTTATTAAGGTGTCATATTGCGACAATTTATTGGCGTCACATTACAAGTTTATTTAAATAAATTGTTGGCAATTAATGAAACTGCCAACAATAGGTGGTTGGATTGGAATGTTTTGAATTGGATGGTTTTGGGAAATGGGATACCCGTGTTACGATTAAAATTCGACTGATTACGTAACTGTAGGCGTTTAGGTACAATTCACTTACTGAATGGATAGTTGAAGATGACGAGAACGATGGCTGCGCAGGCGGAGAGGGCAGGGTCGGCAATGCGAGCAGCGACTGGCTCCCATTCGTTGGTCAGCCCAGCACCCATCACGAAGAGACTGCCTAGTAAATGTCAAAATTCTCAGTTATAGAACAGATCCAATGCCAGAACTTAGAGGGTGGGAGAGCCATGCTTCTTTGTGATATTGCCGCCTCATTTAATAGCGGCGTGAAGCACATTTACGTTGTGTGTTTCCGTATATATAAGTAAGGTTATCGGAGACCAAATCCTTCCCACCTTGGATAGGGAATCTATCCTTAAATCCCTAATAACTCCCAAGAGGCAGGCAACACACCTTTGTGTCCATGGGCGGCGCCGATTATTTGCCATCAGGTAATCCGTCTGTTCGTTAGCCGACTTATGCCTTGTTTTAGGTGAACCCATGTGTACGTATTGGGCTCCATTGTATTTCTAAAATTTCAATATCTGTGTTGATGTTATGGTATAAAAAACTTTATGAGCCAGAGAAAATATTTTTCCTGCACCAACAATCGAAAATCCAATAAGGCCTCTGTACACATTTTAATGTTAAATGCAAATATTTATTATGCATTAAGCTTAATAAATAATCATTAGTTAGGTGTAGGTAGTTAGTACCTACTGCCGGGGAAAGAGGGATTAATGGACAAACATATTATACATACCACCGAAGTGTACATATATTTATTTCCTTAAAAATCTGGCAAAATTAGAATAGCCATGCTTCGGCACGAATGGGTCGGCTCGACCGGAGTAACACCACGGCATCACAGAAAACTGGCGTGAAACAATCACAGCGTTGTGTTTAGCCGTGTGAGTGAGGTTACCGGATGCCCAATCCCTCCCCTCCCCCAATCCCTAAATCTCCAAATTTCCTAATCCCCAAAAGGTTGGCAACGGACTCGGAACTCTTTTGTTACGAGTGTCCATGGGCGGCGCTGATTGCTTACCATCAGGTAATCTGTCTGCTCGATTGTCGGTCTATTACATAAAAAAAGTCCATTCAATCGGTTGTTATGTTTAGTACGCGCTATGCAACTTAAATTAACTAAGAACAATACTTAAGTAACATTAACAAAACAATCATTAATAAAACAACACGTGTAGACAATTTACATAAAATTAGCTGACGCACTATTTTATTACTTAAATTGTATCAATATTTGCTCTTGTTTGTTTTGCTATATGTTACACATAATGTTTGTTTACATTATCTTTTTTAATAGCAGTTTTAATTCTTCTACTGAAATTTGGATTTAATTTTCAAATAAAAAATGGACGACGAATTACCTGAACTACATACTTATATTAGTTGGTCGAGTGATTGCAAGTACGATTGCCGAGAAAGTTGTCTCGGATCCGATTACTGAGTCAGGTAAAATATAATTGAAAATTCTCGATAGTCTACATACACATGTCTCCATTACATGAGACGGATAAAGTATCCGGTTGTACCGGTCAATGTTGTCAGTGCATTCATATGCATGGAATGCCTTAATATGTCCTTAACTTGGAGTAGAGCAGTACTAAGTTAATGTTGTGAACTTACTGGCAATATCAGTAGGGGCATGAGCAAGTACAGGTTCTCCGGATCCAGTCTTTAACACGACACCTCCCCCTTCTGTGACGCTCAGTCGCCGGCTGTAGCTCAGCTCACGACCTATAAGCATACGTCATTGATTATATCGACACAAATCTATTCTATAGTATACTAAACACACCATAAAGTGAATATTTAGAAAGCTGAAATGTTTGCATTTGAAAGTTTGAGTTTTGAGAAAAAAATACTAGAAAGAACTGCTTTTGGGTTTGTGGAGAGACAAATAGAAAGATTGATGATTAAAAAAATCGACTGTTGACGTCCCCAAATCCTAATATACTATCTATAACTGTTGGGCAGTAGCCCGCATTATCACATTGACTGGTCGGAGTGTCCTCCACTTTAGAACTTAGCGAAATATTACTCTTGTGATTTGTGACATTAATGCTCAACAAGGGATCATGGCTTATTTTTAAGCACCGACAAGTACTCTGTTAGATTTAAGTCTTCGGGACTTGTAACGTTGAGTACGAAGTTTCTTTGCACATGATTTAAACCAAAAAAATAGACAAGCTTGTTAAGCTAGTCGCCCTGAATGAATGTAGTGGTTTGATGACATTCCGCGCTTAAAAACTATCATTGTTATAGTTTGGATGTGTTGCAACGTATCTATCGTTGCTTTGTTTACTACAATAATAATTCTCTCGCCTGTTTAAATATCTATTGTTTGCAGAGCATAGTCGAGGTACTTAATGAGGAAGCCATTGATTTACGATGTTATGTTTTGGTAAGAGTAAGAGTAAGATTGTTACGTTTACGTGTTACGTAACCTCTTTGTATAATAGTAAACGGGCATTATTCACAATGTTTTCTTTATTTATTAATTTACATATTTTATCATTTATGGGAGGCCAAAACCTTTCACTTCCCCCATCCCTTCCCAATCCATCAAATTTCCGAAACCCTTTTCTCCTAGAGTCCGGGAACGCATTGGTGTTTCGGATGTAAATAGGCGGCGCCGTTTGCTAAGCACCTTAGTAATTCGCCTGCTCGTTTGCGATCGACAAACGAAATGACGATATCAAATAAAAAAAGTCAAAGGCGTTTGTATTACGAGCCGGAACAGGCAGTAGGTACAGTCAACGGTAAGTTCTCGTGCTTCAGGATTGTTTTGTATTGCGCTACACACAGAGAAAGCCGACCATTTTCTTCCGCATAATGTTTATAATCCACTTAGAGGCTGTCACGTGCGCTTGCTCCGAACTAAAACAACTCAACTTCATAATCGATTCACTGCTGCTATTAAACAATAATCGATTAAACGATAGATGATCAAATATAGTCATTCATTTACTAAGAATCTAGTTAATTGTAATATGGAGTTGTAACGAATCAAGTACGAATTGTTTTGGGTATAAAGTATTTACAAGTTTCTGTACCCAACAGGATGAAAATTGGGTCTTAAGTCAATGGAGAGAATATTATAAATAAATATTTTATTGAGATTATATTATAAGAATCACGAATGAAATAAACGAATGGGTATAAACCAATTTGCTTTATAGAGTTCTGCGATTACTACTAGCCTCTTCGATCATAATAAAATGTGCTACATGTTACAACGCGTATACACGTTTCCAAAAACACGTGATATAAAATATGAACTTGTTGGCCTTCTCTCTCATTTCCATGTCATTTCAACTATCTAGTTGATCCTTAGTTTTATGAGCGATGAATCTATTTAAGTTTCTAGGTACTTTCTCATTTATAATGATAGCACGACACTTGGTGCTTTATGGATATATGTATAATTTATTAAACCGCCTATTAGGAAATTCTGGTTAACGGTCTCGACTGTGCAGGAGACACTGAGTTTGTTTCTGCATTTCTTCTCAGAATAGTCAGAGAGGAAATGGGCTTTATCTAGATTTTATTATATTAGGCTAACGTTGCAATGTTCTGTTTTATGGCATTAAAAAAAATCGTTTCATTTTTTATTGAACCAGGCTATTAGCCGTTAGGTGTACGAGAACTACGTTTGTATTCTCTGCAGTCTATTGTGCACATCTGATTAAGTAATAGCCCATTACGCGATAGTCCAAATATTGATGTTTGACACAATCCAAATCAAAATAGAGAACAATGCACGATTATGTTACGTCGTGTTGAAGGTGGAAATTACAAACATGCAAACAATATATGTAAACCTTACCTGCTAATAACATGTAATTGATGGCGTGAAGCAGCAACCCTATGACGGCGCTGCCGACTATGACCTTAGGATATCTAGGCGGCTGGCCGTGGGAGGAGTGCACGCCCAGCTGGAGAGCGTTAACTACCAGTGCTAAGGCGAAGGATGCGAAGAGGACGTGCACGGAGAGACGGCCCACCACCTCAATGCGCGCCCATCCAAACGTGTTTCGCAAACGACCTTCCCGACCAGCACCTTCGTCGGCGCGCTCATACTGCAAGAACAGTGTAAGGGTAAGCCGAGGCACTCAAATCTTTGCATCCATCATTTCTATGGTCCCGTAACGACCGAATTTAGAACTTGGAAAAAAAAGGAAACGCCAAATGTCCAACACTAGAATATCTCGTAGGAATTCACGTAATACGTGACATCGGTGTCATACTTCCAGGACTCAGATTAAACTATTTGAATATGAAACATTTAAAAGATAACGTTACCAATTGAACTCGTGATTTTGTAAGTAATCAGCAAGTTTATTTACCCATAAAATATCCCATAAAAGCGAACTATGAACACGAAATGAAAGGTGAAATGAGCCGCGAGGCAGATAGCGTGAATTACATTGGAGTTTGAGGAAATATAATATAAGCATTACATCCATATTTTCACTATGGTCTGCAAAAGGAATTAAAATTCGACGAAGATGGTGAACTATTATTTATTGCATAAGAAATGCTACGCGTTAAGTTATGATGGGATGCCTTGTTCCCTATCATTTCACAACTGTTTCAAACTCAAATATTTTGGTCTGTCTTGAATTTATCTTATCTATATCCATATTGAACTTTGAACTACATTAACACAGTCACGTTTCATTTAAACATATTTGTGGTTTAGCCATTAAGGTGCACAAAAGAAAATAATACGAGTACAAACCTTGTATGAGATCAATGTTGTGACGAGTCCGACTAGTCGGCATAGAGAGTGGCAGGTGTCCACGAGGAGGGTCGGTGAGTGCGTGAAGTGCGAGGCGAACAACCGGCCGCTGAAACCAGCTATAGCCAGCAGCAACGCCAACAGGGACCTCGGCGGCGGCAGCCATTGTAGCCACTCCTTCATCGCCATCTTACTGTTCTTCAAAACTAAGGACAAAGAAACCCCTCATCACTTATCCATTAAACCTCAATGAAGTATTACAAAGTATCTTAATCCTACTACGCACTCAAAACATGTTAGAAATGATCTGTCTATTGTCTTTTTGGGTGTATCTTTCCTTTAGGTATGTACAATTGATTTAGATTATCAGTTTTTTTACCTTTGTTTCAAAATTATTTAAATAAACGCCACACAGTCCATCAAATTAGGTATATTAAAGGGTACGAATTCGTAGCCTTTTATCATTATCAACATGATGGTACGAATTTTCAATATAAAATACCTCCTTTCAATCTATACTTATAATAAATCTGTAGAGAGGTCAATTCTGTACATTAACTGTTTTTCAAAATAATTATCAGGGGGTGATAAGTGATCGACACTGATGCCAAAAATGCAATCAGTAAAATTTTTGTCTGTCTGTCTGTCTGTCTGTATGTTCTTTATAGAAACAAAAACTATTTGACGGATTTTAACGAAACTTGGTACAATTATTCTTTATACTCCTAGGCAGGTTATAGGATTTTTTTCATCGTTCGTTTTTTTTTCATCACGCTACAAATAATAGGAGCAGAGCAGTGAAGGGAAATGTTGGGAAAACGGGCGAAGTTACTCCCTTTTTTAAGTTTCCGTCGCGTGTGTAGCCTTAATGATTAAAGTTACATTATACAGAAATTATGTATGACGGCAATATTTTACATAAAATTATCTCAAAAATATGTTATACGGCATATTTCTATCTTTTATGGTTAACTCACAATAGCACGTGTAACTCTTGATAGCTTAGCAATTCGGATAATAAGCCATCGCGCCGTCGCATGTGAAAACTGAATCATGCTATAGGGATTATTTTTGTGTAACTGTTGCAGCGCTCGACGCGACACGGTATAAATATAATATAATAGTGGGTTTTATGAAATATTTTGAATACTTAACTATTAGTGAGATCCGTACCATTCTATCTATGGACGGACGGATGGCGGAGACTTAGTAAGTACTAAGGTATTTACCCATTAAAATGAGACGATTAATTACAAATTTTATGTATAGCTACTTCGATTTTGTTCTATTGCTATATGCTGCTTTTCATCAATACAGCACGCGAAGCCGCTGGCGGAAGCTAGTATAATAATATCATGATGATGATGAAAGGGTACGAATTTGCAAGATGAGGTATTTTCGTGTTTAAAAGTCAATTGAACACCATTACTTCCTTATTTAGGATTTCCTTAGCTCAAATAAAGGGTCGAGTCGCGTCAGTTTGTCTAATACAAAGACTGCTAGCTGTAACAAAGGTAGATATATTTTATGGCCTAATACATAACATAAGCAAGGAAGTCTAGCAGTTTTGTGTCTGCATAGTTAAAATAAACGTTCATTATGTTTTGTCAATCGAATAGACTGGAACTAAATACGTAACGATGTAGGCATTTAAATCTACAATCGACAATTGTGTTTAGGAAAAATGTTTTTCATGTTGATATTAAAGTACTCAACATATCTATAATACGCAGACAATAAAATAGAAATCCAAATTTTTTGTGGTATTCAATACTTTATTAGACAAGTTCCCTTTACATATTTATTAAGACGAATCAAAAATTCTATGCGCATATGATTTAAATAAAACCAGTTGAAAGTTGGTGGGTGACGAATACTGTGAGATGATGTGGGTCAAACAATGTGGGACAAAGTTTTTTGTCAAATAAACCAGTTAGGACAGTTCAATAACTCCATTAACACAAGTATGTATGGAGACGATTGTATTATCCAAATAGGCGGGGTGGGGGGAGGAGAAGGCTAAGGACTTATTTTATATTAATCTAAGGGGAGAAGGCATGTAAAAGTTAGATCTAATAGTAGTAATCATCACATATACATATACTAACATAATGTTTAGAAATGTATTAAAATAACGTAGCAACTTTTATTAAAAAACTCTTGATTAGAAAATAACTTGACGGGATCAAGGAAGTCAAGTTTTTGTTGGAGGCAGCTGCAGTGAGTGACAGTAATGTTCTAATGAGCAGCATGCAGAAATAGCGAGTACAGTTAGCGGATAATGAAAGTTGTTATGGCACGTCATGTGTCAGACCTTTTTACATGTTCTGTCTGTCCGATACTTTAAGACGTGTTCGTGAGTTCTGGTGGCCCAGAGGAAGGCCGTTCGAAACCTGGCAAGCGCTAATGTGAATTTTCCCGATTGATATATACTTTCTACGATAATTGAATCCCACTGACATAAGGTGAAGGAAAACATCACGAAGAAACCTGGACTTATAATTTCAGCATATTTATAAGTTTGGAACCGGTAATCCGCCTTGAAACCTTCTTTGTGTAAGAAGAGGTTTTGAGGTTCTGAAGCTATGTAATGTATTTATTTGGATTTTCTCTGTATACAAAGCCTAACAAATTCGTGTAAAGTAACTATCGTGGGATATACTAAATTGATTGATATTAACTGAGATAAGTTCTACTAGTCGCAAACTCGCAACGGGATTCTTATTTCTGAGCAATATACGACGTAACGTAACTTGGTACCTGCTGAAATCGCTCCATCATTTGTCTACAGATAAACATCATCGTTACAAAAGGCGTTGAAAATGTTTAAATAGGCGTATCAATAGAAGCAACTGACTCCTCGTATTTCGTGGTTAATTTCGACAGTTAAATATTGCAAGAATTCAATCACCAAATCACTGATTGCTGTTTTTTTATTATTGTCATGTTAGCTAGAAATAATCAGTAATGGACGTTCCATTACTGAACTTAGGCAAAGAGCCAACGACTTTTAGGCCGCCCTCACGGTTGGAACGGAGAGCAACCTGTAGGTACCCAGCGGCTCCTTAAGACCTTTATTGGTTTTATTGTTTAACTAGCGACCCACTCCGGGTTGATAATCACACAAATATCATTCAATAAATACTCGTTATAACCACTCTATCCATTAAACAACACCGCATCAAAATCCGATGCGTAGTTTTAAAGATTTAAGCATACATAGGGATATAGGGACAAAGAAAGCGACTTCATTTTATACTGTGTAGATACACCAATATATATATTTTTTGGATATATTTTTCTTAGATATTAGTTGGTAGGTAGGTACATCTGTTGTCATTGCACCGTAGTCAATAAATTCTAGGCCGGAAACCAGTGCGGTTTCGGACGATGACCCGCGCACCACGCATTAGGTACACCTACCCATTACCAATGACTTGCTTTATATGAAAATGCAAAGATATAGTATGAAACATGACTATAGTGTAGACTAGCTACTCTCGCGCAGTTTCACCTGCTGCTCAGCTCCATTTGATCGTAGCGTGATGTTTTACAGCACTCAAGAACATTGTAGCTACCTACCAGTGAAAGAATTTTGGCAATCCGACCAGTGGTTCTAAAGATTACCCCCTACATACAAACTTACAAATATTTTGGAAGTTTATACCTATTCACCCTTATTACAAAACAAGATGAATCTTTACTGTAGTTTTAAATCATTGAGTCAGGTTTTGTATTTTGAATCTTAGTCTCATCTACCTTCAACTTGAAATACAAAAATGGTTTAGACCTACACCCGGTTTCTGAAAGGCTTGTCAACGCTAAAATTAACTAATCTCCTGTTAAATCTCTCGTCAAGTCATCTGATTGGTTGTTGATAAATCAGTCAATCAATCAGATGACTTGACAAGAGATTAAATTGATTTTAACATTGATCGACCTTTCGGAAACCGGGTGCTAGATTATAGAAAAGAACGTTTTGAAAAAACTGGGATTTTGTTTAGTCGAGTAAGAAGTACTGGTTTTTAGTTTGCTTAGACCTTGTATTGGGCATCATACCTATTTGATAAATTCAACTTTAATAACTAGGATTGTTATTCTATTTATTATTGGATCCATTGGTATATGTTTGATTTCATCAATAAGTTCATCAAAGGCAGTCGTTTTTTTACTGCAAGTTTTTCTAAAGTCATATGAGAGAGTCAAGATAGTTATTGCTGTATTTTGTCTGCCATCTTGCGGAAGATGGTACTCAGATTGTAATGGTTCATCTCCGGCAATTGAGTTGTATGCTTGTATGTAGGTACTGGCCGACAGCAGTGGACATTATACATAGGTACCTACATTGGTATTTCTGAATCAACTATGTCGTCTAAACTAAAATAATTTGATATCAAGGATATCAATACATAGTAAAAGTGGAAAATGTATGCGTCTATACATTAAAAAATCCAAGTAAATATTATAGGGCTCATGTGTGAATAATTATACTAAATTATAGGTATTATAGTGGGTCAAGGCTGCTACTATGTACTGCACATGGCAAAACCGCGGCGTGACAAGAAGAAATAAAAATACAAATACTCCAAGACCTTATCAATATTCCTCAGTACTCCACAGGAGAGCAGACGACGCTCTAACTGACCTAATCCTTCCCCTCCCCTTATTCCTAAATCCCCAAAAACCTAGTCACCAAAAGGTCGGCTACGCATTCAAAATTCCTTCCATTGTTATTATAGGTGTCCACGGGCGGATCTGATTGCTTACCATCAGTTAATTCGTATGATTGCTTGCCGTCATATCACATAAAAAAAAACTAACAAGACAACTGCAACCATTCGTGCAAGACAAATATTTATTCTGTATTCTTTTTCTATTAACAAAGTACATTAAATAGTTTGTCCTCTTGACATTAATAGCACAGATAAGTGTCTCGTCTCCAACGTGTAACCTTTACTTAACGGTTCCGATTTCTAAGTTTTTTATAAGGAGCTTTGCGGTCCACTAACTGCGGACTCGAGTACCAAGACGACCACACTTTCGCTAATATATATCTGAGATCGTCCACAGACATTTTATGTGTTTATTCTAATGCTATGTATGGTAATCTCATGTTATGTGAACGAAATATTATTTAAGCATTTTAACAAAATAATTATGTGATTTTGACTTTTTAATTTTATTTCTTTTTCATGCTAATTTGTTGTATCTACTGCAACAAAGTCGATCGCGCCATGATAAAGTTCAATGACCTATGAAATCATAAATATTTAGGCAAAGTACCTACATACATATGCTCATTAATCAAATTAACTCTTTATGATTTTATTGTTTACATACTCAGCGTCAGATAATAATATAATGCGGGGTCTAATTTTGATTTGATGAGCATCGTTTGGTTGGTAACAGTGTTCACAGATATTTATAATACAGAGCGAGCAATGAAATTAAAACACGCGTTAGTAAAGCAAGAAAAACAACTCCCACGCGTAACCCTATTTCGTTAAACGGTGATGGTCACCTAGATAACTATTTTTGCGTTCAAATCGTCAGATATTTTGTTCTTCTCTGCCCTTGGAGTATTTCCTGCTTTTATCGAATGAAAACATTATTAAGTAGCACCAATGTTTGAATATTAATTATCGTTTATCACTTAGATTTTTCAAAAGATCTTGAAGATTTATTTTACTAATTACGATTTATTAACGATAATTTAATAATTAAGTAACATTAACGATTGTTTGAGAATTCACTGTGATTCAGTATTACACTTAAATATGTATTATGTATGTTATTTTTAAAATACTATATGCATATCTACTATACATATTTTTGTAAGCATGGGAGATCTATGCTAGACTAATCGGTCGGTTTGTCCAGGATGATATTACCACGGCGTCAATAAAAAACCGGTACATTTTTTCTTTAAGTAATTATTAAATAGTTGCCGAGTAAATAAATAATTAATCATTTACCAATTGTTTCAATGTCACACATTTTATAACGCACAAAACATCTGCTTCATGGGAATTAGAAACGCATTGTGCAAATAATAAATAATAATATGTTGTTTTTTTAATTTGTGGTCGTAAATAAACAGTTAGGTACTATACTAAAAACTATTAAGCATTATTATTTAAAGAAAAAATATTTATAATTCCTTTACTTCAAGGAGCTCTCGCGTAAATATTATAAATTCTTAGATCTCAGCGATCAATGTGAATTGCACATATAACATTAATATTGTAATAGTGTGTGTGTTGTTCTATTAGTGCATGGCATAGCCGAGATGAGTGAAATTAGAAAGGTCAGTGAAAATAATGCGCGAGCGGTTGAGCCGGCTTCGTGCTCGTTGCTGGTTGTTGGTACCTAATTGTGACGTCACTTGTCCCATCACGGAATTTGGCATGAGTACTTCCAACATAAATATCCAGCTAGCAGGTAATCTGCGACTAGCTACTCATTGTATGTTAACAAAATAAACAAACATTTCGCCGGCGCGTGAACTCGTGTCAATACGTCGGCCAACATTATTTTTATTTTCTTTCAACCTTCTGTTTGTAATGGCGAGTAACATTTTATTGCTTTATAGGTAGAGTCGCAATTTGACGATATTTTCACCAGATTCGTGTAAATATTTAGTTAAAAACAATAAAACTCACGTATATATAAACTGATGCACAGCTTGGTTTAACCGCACAAGTTAAAGTAAAAGCAATCTTTATCACAACACGTTAGTTTAGTAAACAGTAGCCGACGGCGGTGGTTCAGGCACATATCACTTGTATAATATTGCTTTGAGTTTCCAAACACGTTACGAATCTCGGTTTTCAGCGCTCCGCCGTTGTCGGTTCTCGATCGTGATGGGCGGGTGCGCCGGCGTCGCTCGCGACACTGACGACTGCGCGCGCGCACGCTACCTTATCGACAAGCCTTTCGCACCCGATAAGCAAACTGTCGAACTGTTAAATAGGCAGTAGTCTGCTTAGATGAATTTCCGCCATGTGAGTCCGGCGTTGTGTGTAATGACGATCCACATGCACGTCTCGCGACGGTACCATGTCAATATTAGGCTACGCTAAGTGCTTACGTTTTATCAGTACCTAATCGTTATTTTCTAATATATGCTATCATTATCAGCTACTGCTGGTATATCATGCAAAATATCGGTGATAGACTTAAATCACAATTATTTCTGGACAATAGAGCTCGGAGCTTTACTAACATGAGGAAGAATAAGAGGTCACGGACGGGCGTCGACGCCCCGATATTTACGCATAGCGCACCGAACGCTGAAAATATCTTATTTTTCTCTTGTAAATTCTTTTTACAATTTAGTGTTTGCTTGGAAGTGGCAATAGTGTTACAGAGTTGTTTCCACTATTTTTAATTAATTTATTTTTAGTTATTAAATATATATCGACCTAGTATCTACACCCAACTAATTAATCGATATTTATAAGTGTACAATTTTAAGTTAATTTGAGGTGTAAACGTGTTAAGTATCCATTGATATTATAATATTATTTTATCGAACATTCCTCATAAAGATTGTAAGTAGATTTAATTAAAATAGGAGATGCGAAAATATAAATTTGCGAAAGAAATAAATTATCTTTATAAAAAAATGATTAAAATAATTGACAATAATAACAAATACGTAACTAAAAAAAATAGACTGTTCGTCAAATAACGAAATAGACACAAGTTTTAGTTGATTGAGAATGAAACACGAATGCATAGTGACCGTCTCAAAACCAATAAACTAGATAGCATTGCAGACAGAAATAGGTCAAAGGTCGTTAGCAACGGGTTGCACAGCTTTTAACAGTGAGGAGGTTGTGCGTTTCAATAGAGAATGTTGCACGGGAAATAACTATTGCAAAATGTTATTTCTGTTGGCACAGTTTAAAGAAAAAAACGTTGCCATACACCGGGATTTTTTCCTAAGTCGTGGTTGCGTTTACAAACACTATTCCACATACCTACACATCATCTGGGTATGATCGGGACAACAATTTTTATTAATGTTTTGATCAAAAGAAACAATGATAGTTTCTGGAGTCTGAAATTATGTTTTAGGTTAATATATTTATATACATATAATGCATTTAAAAACTACTCTTTACTCGATTCTTTTTAAACTCTTTAATAAGTATTAATGAGTTTTAGGAACCATTTAAAAACAATTCCTAGTCACTTCTCAATTGAATTTACATTTCTTTCAATCTCCAACCTCTGCTTCTTATTTCTCATTCTCTTTTTGAATGTATTTATACTGACGCGTCGGCTGTGCTGTTGGCACGTTTCTTTTATCTGATAACTCGTTCGAATTTATTATAAGGCTGCTACGTAAGAACTATATTTAATATATTTACAGGCTTTGTGGCCATATAGTTTAAATAAATCTTGAATATTGTCATGGAATGGTGGTATTTCATTAAAGGTTGACAGTTTATTGGCATAAAAAACGTTGCCCCAAACAAGGATTTTCTCTTGTGTCGTGGGTACAGACAAACATATAAATTCACATAGACAAGCCACCCAAACCCGAAACAAGAATAGAGAATCGAACCCGCGACACGTTGCACAGCAGCCGTTTTACATGAAGTAGTCCAAGATTATTTTGATCATACTATTATTGTAAAAAAGTTTCATTGAATACTTAGCTACAGTCACTGAGATCGTTTCGTGCTTTATTTACCTAGGAATTAATCCAACCATGTTACTTCTGACTTCACTCCTTTTATTATTTATGACAATTTGGTAAGGTTATGTTAGAATCGCGGCCCTTAATGCTACATCATTTGCTACCTTTGTAAAAAGGTTAATTTATGACAAAAAGTGAAAGAGTTTTTTTTATTATTTTTATTTTGGGATAGGTTGGCAAACGAGCGCGAGCGGTCGGATTAGTACTAAAATAAAGCAATCAGCGCCGCGCATGGACATCCTCTACAACATAGGAGTTACAGAGTGCGTTGCTGACCTTTTTGGGATTAGGGATTTGGAGATTTAGGGATTGGGGAGGGATGAGGCTCACCTCATCCAAGTCCATTCATGTAGGTTGTTTCACCCCGGTTTTCCGTGAGCTAGTATTAGTATCACTCAGGTCGAGCCGACCCATTCGTGCTGAATTTGCATGCACATGCTTTAATACTATTAAGCAAATTTGAAAAATATTTTGAATGTAAGTACTAAGTTTCTAATCGGCTGAAATTAATAACCATAATCTTAAACCCGATTTATTTACTTACTGTATATAATTAATTCAACAACGACACAGATTATCAACGTTTATAGAGTCTTCATCCTCTTCAGGACAATTTCAAAATAGTTTCTATCATTATTTTCATATTTGGATATTGATATTGAAGTTACACAAATATTGACCTTAAATGTGTCTATTAATATGGGTTTATGGTCAGTATAGTATATTCTTGATTGGTTCATACACATTAAATAGAGTAGGCTAAACGTAGCGATTGATACGGCCATTTAGCGATGGTTCTTGAGCGAAGCGATGCATTTGCAAATTAAGATGGAGCGTATCGTAATAGTATTGGACACGTTGAAAGTGTTACTTTCCATTTAGTCGTGTAATTAATTAGGCAATAATGATTTGATCACTTCGAAATTCGATTTTTCATAGCCGGATTAGGTATAACCTACTTACTTGTATTCGGAACTGCTACGTTGATAAACACGACTGACAAAAACAAAGTCCTTCGTTTGACTATCGTGTTGGGCAAAGTATTATTAAGTTTTTTGATGGTTACTGTTATCAGTGGTATAACATATCCTCCTGTTATAATGTACGTAAAACTGCGCAGGCCTCTTTGATGAAAATAGCTTTAAATGGCGACTGATCGATAGACTCAGTAACTATGACTCTTTGAAAGAGAAATGATTGACGATAATTTGATGTATATTTCTACGTAGATAATGAATCCGATAGAATTAAGAGAAAATAATATGTCTATTTGACTGTTTGTTATTGGTCTTGCGACTTATTATGAGCTGGAACATGACTAAAATGTTAATCGGTCAATTCACTATGAGTTGGACGATACATCTATAAAGTAAGGAGCTTGGGTCCCAAATTCCGATTCGCATAGCAAGTTATGCAGTTTGGCAATTTGACAAAACCATAAAAAAAATTGTGATCTACAAATTGTTGTTCCGGGTCTGGGTAATCGCATGTTTGTAGGTTTTTTTTAGGGAAGAAAAAGAACATTTGTAGGTTTGTTTGACCTTATAAAACAGGGTTGGTGAAAACTTACTAAGTATAACATTAAGCACACATCTGCAAGTAAGTACGTATTCAGTGAACCAATTAAAAGCAAATAAGTATCTATATTGTGTAGTGCTTGACATGTTTTACCCACTTTAGAGGACATTGGCTTTGGAACCAAGTAGCAAAGTACTTACAAAGAAGAACATGACACTATGAGTACTAGGAATCACTCACTTACATCAATAATGCTAAGAGAACGTGGATGACATACTTACAAATAGATTTTTTTTATGTGGTAGAACGGCAAACGGGCACATCGATTGCCTGATGGTAAGCAATCGGCGCCGCCCATGGACACTCGCAACACAAAAGGAGCTACGAGTGCGTTGCCGGCCTTTGGGAAGGGTTGGGGGAGGGAGAGGGATTGGGGTTCGGTAACGTCACTCACACGGCGAAACACAACGGTGTGGTTGTTTCACGCTGGTTTAATATTTTAATATTTAGTCTGAATGGCGGACTTAATGCCTTAAGGCATTCTCTAACAGTCAACCACAGGGGGAAGAAAATGGAAGAAACACGGTTTACTATGAGGCCGTGGTATCACTCCGGTCGAACCGACCCATTCATGAAAATGCATGTCGGTACATACTTTCTCACATATCAATCTCATATACGTATGCTATAATTGTATACATTATAATAAGGTTACGTATACTTACAGAAATAATAAAACAGATTTTTCTCCAAACTAAAATACAGTCTTTATTACTGAAACTTAGCAAAACGTAAGCTACTCAATATGATTTTGTTGTTTTTAGACTACTTATTAGGTTTATATGTCAATTTGTTTACTACATAGGTACGGTTTGTACTCTCGAAACTAGGTTAAAGATAAATATAATCCCTTAGTATTAAATTATTACTAAATATAATGTATCTATCTATCGGTTTAATGAGTAATGTTGAAAGACAAGATTACCTATAACTCGAACAGCAGTCCCGAGCATTTGTACTCGTAGGCACTTCATAGCCTTCTTCAAATATTGTCTATTGACTTATTTATTTATACTGTATCCGTTATATCTCTTACTACTTGTAAATATACTCAGTATCAGCAGAAAGTGGTATAGAATCAAATGGTTACACATCAAATCTGATTATAATTTCTGCATTACTTCTTTTAAGCTCTTCTAAGATATTTATGATGTTCCACATAGAGTCATGTTTAAATGTTAAATTAGTTCATTTCCTTTTTCTTTCAAATTTAAGAATAAATTCTTAACGTATCTATTTCCAAAGTATTGATTTTGATGACAGATTTACCCTCTATTTATTATTATATTCTATGGGTTAACCTCAAATTATTGTACGTCTTAATACGGACTACCTAAAGAGTTATTATAAGGCCATATACTCTTTGGTAGAGACATAAACACCTAATAGATAATTAATGCCAAAAAGAAAGGAGGTTTAATACACAAAATATTTTTACATCAAAGTCCTATATTTTTTTGTACTTTTTAGTAATCTGTTGTCGTATTTAGGTATTTAGGAATACCTTACGAAAAATAACATGAAACACGTCCCAATATTGGAATAAATGGTTCAAAATGGCTGGGCTGGGGTTATCTATTCAGTACTCGATAATCGTTATATTTCAT